AAATAGACAACATTTTTATTGAAAGAGATTTTATAAACCTCAAGATACTAAAATAATATCTTTTGCACAAACTTTTTGATCGAAAAAACGTTTTTCCACAAACTTTTCGACCAAGAAAACACTAAAAAATTGTAAAAACTGCCCCAAAAGGCTGTTAAAAATAAAGACAATTGGCTTAAACACGAAAGGCGCGATTGGCCAAGTTTTGTTTTTATTATAAGATCATTTAAGACTGTCGGGAAGAGGCGGATCATTATTATTAAACGAATGACTAGGAAATTATTTTTGATAAAACATGACTACTGTAATTTTTTTGTTGTTTTAGAAAAACAAAAAACGTTTTGATGGTTTAGATCTGTGCTTAAGGTTAAAAAATTGGTTTGTAAAGAAAGTTTTTACAACTTTTTGTTTTGTAAAGAAAGTTTTTACAACTTTTCGTTTTGTAAAGAAAGTTCTTGCCATTTTTTGTTTTGTAAAGAAAGTTTTTACAACTTTTTGTTTTGTAAAGAAAGTTCTTGCCATTTTCTGTTTTGTAAAAAAAGTTTCTGACTTTTGAGTCTTCTAATCCACCTTTCTTCTAAAATTTTCAAAACACCCCTTAGAAAAAATTTTCGAAATTTACCCCGCCCAAAATGTTTGTAAAGAAAGTTTTTGCCATTTTTTGTTCTGTAAAGAAAGTTCTTGCCATTCTTTGTTTGTAAAGAAAGTTCTTCCTATTGTAAAATAGGGTTCCACCTGACCACTCTCTTCGGCTGTCGCACTCTTTAACCTTCTTCCTCAAGTCCTTTCTATCTCTAATTCTCTCTCTCTTAAACTCACGCTCTTTCATCGTTTCTCTAACAAATCCTTCACTCTCTAACCTACCCTCCTCCGCTCCCCTACTCTCTCCTCTTACTACTTCAGTCTTTTGCGGCCTACAGTAACCTCGTGGATTAATTCGGCGCTTTATAAGGATTTAATAAAACGGATAAAGCATTCCATTAAACACCGCTGCATCACAGAAAAAGAAAGGCAAAAACTTGTTGAACAAACAACGATACTCAAATATTGATGAACAACATAAAACACCCGCCTCACACATTAATCCAGGAATGGGCCACGAAAGGTCAGGCACGGCCGGTCTGAAAGTTGAGGGGAGGTTAAAGGTTCGAAAAATTTTTTAATTTAAAAAAAGTTATTTTAGCACGAATAAAAGCGGAATAAAAGTCTAATATAAAAAAAAATTTTAAATTTTAAAATAAAATTTTTTTTTAATTTTTAATTTCAAAATTTAAAATTATTGCCTAATATTCAAAAATAGCCATTTCTACCTCAAAAATTGGAAAAAAAATAAAATTTGTTACCTAAATTCATAAAATGCCTACTTCCAATGCAACTTAAAAAAAAGTTGTTACCTAAAATTTAAAAAATCCTTGTTTTCAATGTAAAATTTTAAAAAAAATACAAATTTGTTACCTAAAATTACAAAACTTATGATTTCCATGCAAAATTATCAAAAAAAATAAAAAATTATTACAAATTCAAAAAACCAATACAATATACCAAAATAATATAGTAAAACCCCAATCTTCTCATAAAAACTACAGTACTCTTCCACAGCAATAACAGTTTGAATTAACAGTTTTTTTAAAAAAATTTTCTTTTCAATTTCGAATGATTGAAAATTTGTTGAATTTGATTAAATTTGCGGAAAATTTTATAATAACATTACTTTATTGCATCATTAAATGACAAAAATTAAATGTAATGGGCAGGGGATGGGATTTTAATTGCTGAAACTAGATTGTTTGTCAATTTTAAATTGTTTTTTGAAATTTCAAAATTTTTAAATTTTTTAAATAAATTTTTTAGCAAAAACTTCTATTATACATTAAAAATAGCAACAACTTTCTTTACAAAACAAAAAACAGCAAGAACTTTGTTTACAAACCAAAAAATGGCAAGAACTTTCTTTACAAACCAAAAAATGGCGAGAACTTTCTTTACAAAGCAAGAAATGGCAAAAGCTTCCATTACAAAAAAAAGTCAAAACCAACTAATACAAGTCAAAAGTGCTTACTCTCGACTTTTTGGACCTTCGAAAGTTACAAGAGTGACATTTTAAGGCGGTTTTGGGATCAAAGCAAAACAAAAAATGATAATTCTCGGCCACGCGTGCTTAAAAGGTTTCATTTTTAAACGATCTTAAAATTTTTTTGAACACAAAATCATTATGCTAATTTTTAAAATTTTAAAATAATGGCAAACTGAAAATGACAAGAACTTTCTTTACAAAACAAGAAATAGCAAAAACTTTCTTTACGAAACATCAAATGACAAGAACTTTCTTTACAAAACATAAAATGGCAAAAACTTTCTTTACAATACATCAAATGGTAAAAACTTTCTTTACAAAACAAAAAATGGCAAGAACTTTTTTTACAAGACAAGAAATGGCAAGAACTTTCTTTACAAAACAAAAAACGGCAAGAACTTTCTTTACAAAACAAAAAGCTGCAGAAACTTTCTTTACAATTCAAAAAACAGAAAAAACTTTTTTTTACAAAACAAAAAATGGCAAGAACTTTTTTTTACAAGACAAGAAATGGCAAGAACTTTTTTTTACAAAACAAAAAATCGCAAGAACTTTCTTTACAAACCAAAAAGCTGCAAAAACTTTCTTTACAATTTTTTATTTGCATATTTTACATTCGACTTTTCAACTTGTCATTTACATGTCCCCACCAAAAAAATTAAAATTACTATTTTCAAAACCAGCCCACTCCAAATTTCAAAACCTCATAGTATAATAATTCGACTATAACAACAAAAGCTCTCCTATGACAAGTTAAAAAGTCGAAATTTTGGCCGACCAATTTTGAGTTGTAATCCCTCGCAAAAATATGGAAATTCATCATCATTCGGACAAATTTTAAGCAGTCGGAAATGTATTTTTAAGAATTGTTTCTTTCCCAAAACAATTTTCGACCACAAAACGCATTAGTCAACCGAACCTGATTTTAAAGTCATTAAGAGAAAATGACTCAAACCTTGATTTGAATAAGTTTGGCCTCATTGGGAGAGGGGAGAGGGTAGGAAATGTCTAGATGGGGTAGTGGGTAGAGAATGTGAAGATAGGGGGGAGAGTAAGAGAAAGAATTCAAAATGACTTTTTTGGTTTGTAAAGAAAGTTCTTGCCACTTTTTGTTTTGTAAAGAAAGTTCTTGTCGTTTTTAGTAAGGTAAAGAAAGTTCTTACTATGTTTTTGTTTTTTAAAACAAATTCTTTTTTTTGGTTTGTAAAGAAAGTTTTTGCCATTTTTTGTTTTGTAAAGAAAGTTCTTGCCATTTTTTGTATTGTAAAGAAAGTTTTTGCTAAAAAAGCTCGTCTTTTATCAAGATCTTATACTTAGTTACAATAACCAAAAACAGTGTTACAGTACCTCAAAATTCTTCTACAACCCAAAATTTCCTACTGTAACAGAAAAATTATACAGTAACCCAAAATTTCTCACAGTAACTGATCTTATACTTAGTTACAATAACCAAAAACAGTGTTACAGTACCTCAAAATTCTTCTACAACCCAAAATTTCCTACTGTAACAGAAAAATTATACAGTAACCCAAAATTTCTCACAGTAACCAAAAAATATCTCACTACTCTCTAAAATATAGCTAAAACCCTTGTTTTGCACAGTCCTCTTTAGGCTTAATGTCTAAAAAACGCGGATTTCATTTCCGCTGCCTTTATTACTCGCATTAGCAATGGCAAATCACCAGGGAGTAATAACTTACTATTACCCATAATTGAGAGTCAACGGAATTGCGTCTGCTGACATAAGGCTTATTGTATAGTAATATCATCATAATTAGACTTTTTCTTTTATAACTTTGAGTTTTTGGTCTTGGGAATGATTTTTAAATTTTTAGGCTTAGAATTATAAATAAACAAAAATTTTCTTTACAAAATGAAAAATAGCAAGAACTTTCTTTACAACGTGAAAAATAGCAAGAACTTTGTTTACGAGGTAAAAAATAGCAAGTACTTATTTTACAAGCCAAAAAATGGCAAAAACTTTGTTTACAAACTCAAAAATAACAAAAATTTTCTTTACAGATCAAACAGTAACAAAAAAACCTACATCTCCATAAAATACTTATTTACCTATTCTAGTCCTCTCCCCTCACCAACCCTCTTGACCTAAAAAGACTATGCTATTTCACCTCAACTTTAATCATTTTAATTCCACTTAAAATACCGTAAATTCAAATCGAATTACTTGCGCGAAATTGATGAGTTTACTGCCGGAAAACCTTATGTTATCCCTTTCTTCAGTGTTTTACGAGCCTCTTATGTTATACCATCTCTCTCATCTTTTCTGTTTTTTTTTCTACACCCCCACCCCGCCCTCAAATTAAATTTTTTTTGACATGCCTTGAGAAATTAAAAAAAAGACCCCCTCCCCCACCCCCCCCCCTCAAATTAAAAGTTTTTTGACATCCTTTTAAAAATGTTTTAAAATAAGACCTATCTTCCCAAAATTAAAAATTTTTTTGACATACCATTCAAATTTTTTTAAAATAAGATTTATTCCCCCCCCCCTCTCCCTCAAATTAAAAATTTTTTTTAAAAATGCATTTTAAAATTTTTTTTAAAATATGATTTATCTCCCCCCCCCCTTTTTTTTAAACCTCGCTTTCTCCCCCCCCCCTCCCCCTCCCCACCTCTAATTAAAAAAAAACTACAGCCCAACCCTGCCTCGTGCCAAACCACCCTGTAAACTTTTCAACAGTCGGGCTACAAATCGAAACGACAATCATTTCCGGAGCGCAATCAAATAAAACTCCAAACAAAGGGATCGATGTCTCCAGCTGAGTCTATTGGCCCATATCAACAAATTGGCGGCACTTACACCGCCCGTTACTACGCGGATCGGAAGGCAACTTAATGTAATAACGAGTGGAGGAAATACAATAAGAGGCAAGTGTTATATAATAATAATATAATTACAAGAGATACGATGTGTAATGTTATAATGAATGCAATCAAAAAGGAACTTCACCTCAGCTACAAGTGTGGCCTCGTTATTACTGTAGCCTTAGGCCTAGTTCTAATCTTGCCGCCAGCCATTGTTTTAGCCTTGAATTTATCTTTAGCCCTAGCCTCAGACCTAGCTACAAGCCTAGCTTCAGCCCCAGTTTCAGCTCTAGTTTTAGCCCCAGATTCAGCCCCGGCTTTAGCCTCAGCTTCAACCTCAACTGCAGCCCCAGCTTCAGCCCAGCTTCAGCTCTATGCTTTACCATATGATGTTAAAGCAATATATTTATGTAAGTGAAAAAGTGTTATCGCCTTATGTTTGCAAATCATACCGTCGGATGTTGGTCAAGTGCAATATATAGCTTATTATATGTCCTTATATAAATTGCGTCAGCGATAGGGTTACTACAAGTTCAACATATGTATTTGAAGGTAAAATACGCTTAATATAACGTTTTTTTAAATTCATTTTTCAGAAAAAATAGGCTTAAACCGTGTTGTTAGCTTAAAATTGTGTGCTAAGCCTAAGTTTTTTATCTAAACTTAAGCTTTCACTTAAAATCATACCTTTACTCTTTACTTTATAGTATTTACACCAAAATAAAATCGTATATTCAACATATTATGACAAAACACAACCCACTCTATATTAACCACATATTAACCATGATCGAATCCGTACATTCAACATAATCAAACCATGTCATAAAAGCGGTAAACACCGCCGAGATCCACAAAACCCGCCTGTTGACATAGTGAATCGGTGGGGCATAATCCCGGGTAATAAAATTTATATGGAATTTTGGAATTCCGGTTTTATTTAGTTGGATTACTGTGCTCAAACAGTTGTAAATGAAGAGAAAAGAGAGATATTGGTAAAGAGAGGTAAGGGGAGGTGAAAGATAAGATAGGGAGAGAATAGAAGACGGTACCATAATGAAGAGAAATTAAAGTGATAGTTAATAAAGAAAGAGATAATGAACTTTAGCCTATAATGATCATTTCCAATATCATAAGCTCAGTTTTAATGGAAAGAAGAAGAGAGAATCTGATTCGGAAACGGCATGAATCAGAGCAAGTTTAAACGATCATAATCATCACTCCACCGTAGTCAAAACACGCCTAGTCGTAAATGAATGGAATTATGTTCTAGATTTGGTCATTATATGTAGTTTGAAATATATTTAAAATAAAATTTTGAAATTTGGCTTAATAAAAAAATATATTTTTTTAATTTTGCTTTGTAAACAATGTTATTGTCATTTTTTGTTTTGTAAAGAAAGTTCTGACTATTTTTTGTTTTGTAAAGAAAGTACATGCCATTTTTTGCTTTGTAAACAAAATTATTGCCATTTTTTGGCATCTAACGAATTTTGTAAACTTTCACACTACTACTCTACCTTACCTAACCAACCCTAACCCAGCTCCATAATTCCTCAGCTGTCCCCTTAAAAATAAAAACTTAAAACCCACACCCGATACCTTCAAAACGGTATGCCGGTTAATAACGGCACAGCAAACGGTTAATATTCGAAATGGATGCAATTTAGCGCCATTACAATTATATTGTTCATGGTCGATAAAACTTGAGAAAGACGGCTAAGGGAGGGGGGATTCGATTGCACTCCAATTGGCAAGCCTAACGGTTTTTTTTTCACACTTTTCAAAAAAGTTATTTAAATTCCCGTGAGAGAATCGAATTAAGCACCCAATTAAGGCTAACATTCGAAAACGACCACCGATTTACAGTGACAAGGTTAATTGGCACCTCGTACAAAAGGGTTCACAAGTTGACTACTGATGGCTGGAAATAGGTGGGAATGAGGGTGTGGGTTTTATTGGAGAAGAGTGAGGAAAAGTAAGCAGTACTGTGGAAGAAGGGGGAGGAGGTGTAGAGGAATGCACGAAAAAGGGGGGGGGGATTGTAGTATAAAAAATAAAAGTAAATGAAAAACTACCCTACGTGTACCCTACTGCTACTCCTATCTCTACCTCTACATCTACCCCAATATAATGTACCGTAACATAATGAAAAACCAAATTACCAGCCCTAACTACCGCAACCCAATCCCCCCACCCTCTTCACGCCCAAAAAACGAAAATGAGTTAAATTTCAAACAAAGTAAATGACGAAAAATCATGAAGCTGACACTAATTACCCGACCCAACTCATTTCGAATTCGGAATTAAATGTGGCGAATTAAAGGTAAAGTGGTGATCAAGGTGAAGATGGCCGTTATTGCCAGCCATCTGGAGCAAAAAGCAGTAATGCCCTTTCAGCACATAAACCGCACACGTGCCACTTTCAAATCGTACCATTGAGAAATTTATATTACTCTCACTCAAAATCGTATCATCATTTATTGAGATTTTTATATTATCTTTCTGGGGTTTTTTATTACCATAAAATTATATTATATTAGGTTAAGGAAAGCAGATTTTATTAAAAAAAAAGTATTATATATTGCATTTTTACCCTACTCAAACTCAAACCTTAATGTAGCTCTAGCCATAGCCCGACCCCTAAATTTAGCTATATTTCTAGTCCTAGCCGTTAGCAATTAAAAAAAATTAAATTTTAACATTGAGTAACAAGTTAACCGTACTCGCAGTAATTTGTTGGGTCGTTTTACATCGAGGCAAATATTACAAAATTAACATATATTACACAAGAAAACGTTGCGTAATATTGTTTTTTGCAATTTCTCTAAGGCTATATTATTATATCAAAGTATTATGCAACATTGACTTGCCCGCAGAAAAAATATTTTATAGCAAACGGCCAATCATCTGCACCAGTATCTTACCTTACCTTGCCTTATGCTACTCTACCCTTCCTTACCCTACCCTACCCTACCCTACCCTACCCTACCCTACCCTACCCTACCCTACCCTACCCTACCCTACCCTACCCTACCCTATCCTATCCTATCCTACCCTACCCTTCCCTACCCTACCCTACCCTACCCTACCCGACCCTACATTACCCTACCCTGACTTACCTAATTTTTGTGTTATATGTATTGTACTATAACATATAAAGATTAGCTGCTTTCTGTATTGCTGACAAATCGCTCACAATAAAATATAAGTCGTTGTGTAACCAAAGACAATATACGATTATAAAGTTTTATTTAAACAATTATTCATCCGACCAAAAATGAGTATTTCAAATGCAAATTTATTGACCAAAACTTCAAAACCAACAAAATTTGAAAAAATATTAAAAAACAAAAGAATATAAAAGCCTATCCTACCTACTTTACTCTACCCTACGCTATCTTATCCAACCATACCCCCTCCCCCTTCTCTCCTCATTAAAATCACCGATCCGGTCCAGCCTATCCACCTTTAAGCCAGAACTTAATTACAAGCCTAAAATTTTTCAACAAAACCTAATCAACCAAAAATCGATCAAAACTTTCCCCATAATTTCCTTTTGTCAAATATACCAAAACTCTTCGGTTGATTTAAGTTTGGTCGATTATATTGTCTATTATAAAGTGGCGGTGCCTTTGACAATCGGTGGATTTTGAACCTTAATCCGGTCGCACAACAAGAGGTAATTGACCCGATGCAACACGACATGACTTCCCTGCCCACTTAAGACTATATTAGACAAACATTCTGTAATAGTAGTTAGTAGTTACATTACAATCTCAAGTGTAATTTGCAAACAAGAGCTTTTTCGAAGACTTGAACGGATACGTATAGACTTGAAATTAAGTTTAGGCTTAATGTTAACTTTAGGCTTAAAATTACTTTAAGGCTTAATGTTGAGTTTAGGCTCGAAAATTAATTAAAGACATAACAGATGATATTAGGCTTAAAAAATTTAGGCTTAAAATTTGATTTCTGGCTATAAATTTATTTAAGCTAAAAAATGAATTTTTAGCCATAAAAATTGATATTAGGCTTAAAAATTAATTTTAAAACCAAAATTTAATTTAAATTTAAAATCATATTCTAATTTCAAAAATTAAAAAAAAATTATTATAAAATAAGCCCAAACCCTCCAAAAAATCAAAGATTATCATCACTATGTCATATCCCAATGGACCCCAAAAACATGTAACAAAACTTGTAAACCCGTCCGCGAGACAACCGGCTGTCACTAATCGAATTATGTTTGATTTTAATTTGTGGCCACAAAAACCTCAACGAAACTTGTGTCATATGTCACAAAATGCAGTTTTATGGAAATCATATCCGGTCCTAATTCGATGAGGCATGGCCAAATTCAATTCGATTAACGGACCACTGACCTTTACTAATTTTTACTATTGCTACGGTAAATTGTACTGTAAAATGATAACTTTTAAAACTATTTAAAAATTGGCAAAAACTTTCTTTAAAAAAACGACAAATAGCAAAAGCTTTCTTTACTAACTTAAAAATTTTTTTAGAGACGCAAAATATAAATGGCCATCATCGTATAACCTCCATCCGCAACCTGCGCCACTTAATTGTTTACAAAATAAAAAATAGCAAGAACTTTGTTTACAAATCAAAAAATTGACAAGAAGTTTCTTAGTACAATAAATGGCAAGAACTTTCTTTACAAAATAAAAAATGGCAACAACTTTCTTTACAAACTAAAAAATGACAAGAACTTTCTTTACAAAACAAAAATTTCATAAATTAAGTCCAAAAACACCGCCAAAATTAAAATAGAATGATTTTAAGCCTGAGGAAAGTACGATGAAAGACGGAAGAATAAAGCCGATTAAGGCATTAAGACGGTTCCTAATTTGAATCTCATTTTAGGCAAAATAAATCAAACAACTTGGAATGGGATTTGCGGCCGATTTATGAGGAAATAGTTACAATTTTCAAATAGTCATACGATTTTTTGTTACTATGACAATTTTTCTGTAACTTAAAATTTGAAATTGTACTTTTTTAGTATTGTTAGATCTAAAGCAGAAATATTACGTGCCGACATAAAGAACCAGCCATTTTTTTACACAAAATTACAGGCAAAGGAGGGCGGGTTCTTTATGTCGGCACCTAATAGGATAGTGCTACAATTAAATTAGACTAGGGCTGAATTAAAGGTAGGGTGGAGTTAAAATAAGAAGTACGGTTAAGGTAAGACAAACTTTTAAAGCAGTGTTAAAACAAGTCTAAGGAGAAGCTTCAGATAAAGCTAGAGCTAAACTAGGGTTAGGATAGAGAGTATCCGTTTTAAAAAATTTAAAAGTTAGCGTAGGTATACAACAAGGTTAGGATAGGTATACAAATAACCACAAATTTTAAAAAATCCGTTTTAAAAATTTTAAATGGTAAAACTGCGATGATTCGGTTTTAAAAAGTAGCCGAAACAGTTAAGAATAGCCATTTGACAATAGAAATGGTTTCTTTTCAAATTTCAAGAATACGGTAGCTTTTGTTAATATAAAGTAATTCCATGTGAAAAATCAAATTTAAAATTTTTTAAAATGACCAGAACTTACTTTACAAAACAAAAAATAGCAAGAACTTTCTTTACAGAACAATAAATGGCAAGAACTTTCATTACAAGACAAAAAATGACGAACTTTCTTTACAAGGCAAAAAATGGCAAGAACTTTCTTTAACAAACAAAAAATACTCATACCCGTACCCCTCCCGCCCCCCCCCCTATTTACCCCCTCAAACGACTGTTAATTAAATACCCCTCAATACCGTAACCCACTAACCCCTAATCTAAAAACCAAATTTAAAAACTGAAAAACAAGTCTTGAGAGAACAATTAATCATTTGTCAAATAATTCGTGTGTTTACAGTAGCAACGCGGACCCAAATTTTTATTTTTTTTTAATTTCGTAAAACTACTTAAGAAATTATTGCGCCTTGAAAATCATTCGGCGAATGCAATTTGGGCCCACTTTTTGGTTCGATGCCTGCGGGCATTGGAGAACGGAAACGCACGCTAAGAATTTTAGTTGGCCTTCGGATTTGCTTAACCTTTTCATTTTCGACCGAAAATTGGGCTTAATTTGGTTAAAAACATTTTTTAGGTAACAGATTTTAAAACGACCAAATTTTTTAATCTGAATTCACTTGAATAAAAAACATACGAGCTAGCCATAGCCACTAGCTATTAAAAATCGAAAATTAGTAATTGCACAACAGTGAGTCAACCGTACTCGCAGTAATTTGTTGGGTCGTTTTACATCGAGGCAAACATTACAAAATTAACATATATTACATAAGAAAACGTTGCGTAAAACCGTTTCTTGCAATTTCTCAAAGGCTATATTACTATATCAAAGTATTATGTCAGGTTGGTACACTTGCATAACATATTAACAAACTTCATGCTATCCTCTTGTTTCACGCTACCCTATTTTAATATCTACCTGTCCTGCCTTGTCTTGACCTGCCTTGCCTTGCCTTGCCTTGCCTTGCCTTGCCTTGCCTTGCTTGCCTTGCTTGCCTTGCCCTGCCCTGCCCTGCCCTGCCCTGCCCTGCCCTGCTCTGCTCTGCTCTTCCCTGTCCTGTCCTGCCTTTCCTGCGTTGCCCTGCCTTGCCTTGTCTTGCTTTGTCTTGCTTTCCCTTGCCTTGCTCTGCACTACCCTTATATTACAGTATGTACCCACCGCTCTATCCTGTTAGGCAAAAACTAAAAAATCCAAAATCCATTTTATTATTTTTAATTGTCATTTCAATATTCCCGTACCGCTTAAATCACTCATAATTGCCGGCGGCTTTCCGGGCCTTAAAACAAAACCCAGCGGCCGTTTTTCTTAAACGCGCCCCCTCTTCGAAAATTGCCTTATTTGTTTTAAAAAGATGATGGGCCATATTGGGCAATTAAAAGAATCTTTTCAAACTCGGCTTCTGAAGTTTCCTTAAGCAAATTATTGTCGTCGGAAGTGGCCGGTATACGGTAGAAGCGATTAAGCACGACAATTAAGACATGACGTTAATTACGTTACAGTAGAATTGGCTTGAATCAAAAGAAAATTTTATGAATTTTAATAACTTAAGCAATTTTTGGTACTAAAACAATTTATAATAATCGTACGACAAACTTAGAAAACAAGGCTTACTGTAAAACGGGAATCCTATGGCTTATGCCAAAAGTTATGCGCTAAACCTAAAGATTGTTTTCTAGGCCTAACTATATGTGCTCGGCCTAAATGTGATGTAATAAGCCTAAATTTGAGTAAGCCCAGAAATTGGTTTCTAAGCCTAAATACGTGTGACAAGCTTAAAAGTCGCGTGGTAAGCTTAAATATAGCGTGCTAAGCCTAATTTTCTCTGTACTAAGCTTAAAAGTTGTGCTAAGTCTAAACTTTGTGTGGCATGCCTACGAATGCTTTTTACGCCTCAATATAATTTGGTAAGTCTAAACATTGGGCTTAGGCCTATACGGAAAGTAATCAGCCCAACATAATATGTTAAGCCTAAATATTCAAAAAACAATTTTATAATTTAATTTTTTAAATTTTTAAATAATCATTTTATTATTCAATCAAATGTTACCCAAAAATGATTTTCATTACAAAAAACCGCCTTAACGAAACCGTGATTATTAACCATATTATTCACAAAGTCCCTACTCGGCTAGTCCATAAAACCGCCGCCGCCTGCCGCTCACTCATCCCTGGATCCGAGAATTCATAAGCGACGGAATGCAAATGAGTCCGAAAGGTTGCCGTTCTTGGCCATTTTCGCATTTCACGACGTTTGCCAAAACAAAAGGCAACAAACTTTTCCAATTGTGAGAACAAAAAAGTAACAATAAGTGTTTGTGCGCATGTTCTTGGCATACGATGGTTAAGTTTTGGGTAATATTTAAAAAAATTTTAAAAATTAAAATTTGAAAATTTGATTTAAAGTTTTTTAAAATAAGTAACTTTCTTTAATATAAATTTCAAAAATAAAATTTAGGTAGTACAAAAATAAAAAATTTTTTAAAATTGAATAAATAAATAGTTTAAAAACGAAATTTAAGTAAATTTTTGAATAAAAATCATATTTTTAGGCTTAGAAACTAATTTTAAGCTTATTGGGCTTACTACAAGTTTTAGACTTGGCACACGGTTTAAACTTATTACATAATAAATTTAGATGTATTACGTAACTTTTAGGCTTGGCAACACATAATTTTAGGCTTTTTACATAATTTTTAGGCTCGTCATGTAATTTAGGCTTATTACATAATATTTAGGTTTAGCAGCACACAAATTTAGGCTTATTACCCAATTTTTAGGCTTAGCAGCACACATTTTAGGTTTATTACATAAACTTTAAGCTTAGCAACACACAATTTTAAGCCTAATACAGAGGATTTACAGTTTTACGCAAACAACTAATATCAAACAGTATTGTACTATAAGAAAATAAATACCAATATCAATAGAATTTATTGTTTAGAAAACAAGTGAACGAATTGTGAAGACAAGATAACAATGAAAGATCATCACACTGTGGTTTGATGTGTCGCATTCGTCGTACTTTGTCGTGTTGGACTGCGTTCGGGTGAGGTCGAGTCGTCGGTAGTGGTCGAGGTGCCCTGGCCGCGCAACGAGCGTTGGCGGATTTCGTAGCGGCGGACGGCGGTTTCGCCGCCTGAGCCACTGCCTCGACCGGAGTCTGGCTCGGATAAATAGGCCTAAAATAAGTTATTCAGTTTTTTTTTCAATTGTTTAGCGGCAAAGCATTAAAATTTTTAATTTTTTAAAGTATAACTACCCTTTTGATAACAAAAACTTACTGCGTTTTGTCGATGAGGTGGTGAGGATGAGATTCTGAACCTGGGCTTACGATTTTCCTAAAAAAAATTTTTATAACAGTCAAATTGTGACCTTCAGAGAAAGGTAACCTGTCGTAATACCAACGTAAAAAGTCAAAACCTACCACAACAGGACTAGCGCTTTGGTACCCCCCAGAAGGTGAACTGTTTCCTGGCTTGTGGAAGGACGAGCTGAGATCCGGAGTGACAAAGCTTTGTTGATGTGTTGGGTTGATATTGGGGGTCCTGTTCGGAGAAAAGGTTTGGCTGTACCTGAATTTTAAAATTATATTTAGGCTTATGTTTGATACTAAACATAATTTTATTTATAAATTTATTTTAAGCTTAAAAATTTCTTTAAGCCTTATATATTAATTTTAGGCTTATAACCTATTTTAGGTATAAACCCAATAACTCACAAAGGATAGTAATACTCCATCATAGGCGATGGAGTAAATGGTGGTTGTGATTGAACACTGCCTTGTCGTCCCGACCGTGGCAGTGACACCGGTGTTCCTGAGTGATACGAAGACGGTGTACCATAGCCGGGATATGCCATGTAGCCAGGGTATGCTGAAACACCTTGTGGTGGTACTATTCGACTCGGAGTGAATCTAGGATACTCTGGCTGCAACGTTGAAAATTGGCGCGGATCCGGTTGGACAGGGTAGCTTAGAGTATCTTGGGGGTATTGTCGAGTATCTGGAGGATAGACTCTAACATCTTGTGGATATGATCGTACATCACTTGGAGTATACTGTTGTCCATCTGATAGTGAATATTGTCTATTATCTGGTGGGTACGAGATCACTGGAATGTGAGCATTATATGCAGTAGGTGGGTATATTGGAGCTTGGCTCTGAGCCGGGAGTTGATATACTGCACCTTGTTTCTGAGGTGGATAAGCCTGTTGGAATGCCTCAGGTTCGGGCAGTAGACCCTCAGCCATAACCGGTGAAGCCATTGCGGCGGCGTAGCTACTGTATGGGTTGGCATAAGCCAACAGGTCTTCAGGTAGATCACTGGTCGAGTTAACTGAAGGCGTGGGATCACGGAAGGATCCTTCTTCAGATGGTGGTCGGGTCGGGTCATCGCTGCTGTTCACCATGCGATTACTGTAAGTGAAAAAATACTTTTCAAAAAACTTTAACAACCCTTTCTAATTAAAAAATCATTTCACCTGTCACTATGTCTTCATAAACCTTAAAATAAACCTAAAAATCAAATTTCATCAAAAAAGGTCGCATAAAACTCACTTTTGCTCGCTTTCCCATGCCTCATCCTCAACTTGTTGACCATGATACATAGCCGGCGTTTTGTCCACAGTAAACTCAAAATTACTCGTGTTGGACTTTCGAGGTAACATCGATGGTGGGGAGCGTTTGAAAGGCGTCAATCTATGATTTTCAGCTTCTTTCAAATTCTCATTTCGACGATCTAGCAAAGGTGAGGCTTCTGACGCTAGATCTCGTTCAAACGGACTAAAATTAAAAATATTGTGTTGTAGTATAGTCTAATAAAAAAATGCTGAACAATCAATACTAAAAAAAATTTAAGACCGAAAAATATTCAAAATCAACTTACGGCGACAATAACCTCTGGTCGTTCATGGAATGGCTTCGTTTCGCGGACTCTGGTGTCGCTAGCCATGGTGTGCTCTTTTGACTACAACAACATAATAACCACGACATTTATTATATCATAACTCTTATTTAATATTAAATTTTAGCTTCAAACACTTCAATTTTCGAACAAAAATACAAATTTTAACACGAAAATTTATGTTTAACCATTTAAATCAATATTATTTAGAATTTTAGGTAATAATATCAATTTTTCAATTATTAGCTTATCTCCAATACTATTTTCATCTTTTCAGCCCAATATATAGATTAAAAACACAAATTTTAGAAAAAATAAAGTAGAAAGATACCTAGATGGAGCTCTTTGCTTTGGTGTCATTGAGTTTTGTCTTGAAGGAACAAACATAAATGTGTCACGTTCACTGAAATTAGATACATAAGTCAGCTGTTGTATTGTTACTCAAAAATAACTTCAAAATGATATTTTTACTTTTGATCCTGTTTTTGTGGTCAAATTCTTTCAATTTTTGATGAATTTTTTTTTATAAGTAAGTTATTTAATTTTGTGTTACCTAAAACATAATTTTTACCAAAAAATCTGCAAAAGTCTAGTCATCTTACTTGTTAATCACCGTGACATCCCCTGGCTCCTCCTCACTGTCCTTGTTAGTAGTCTGCGGCCACGGTGATTTCCGACTTCGGCCCGGTGTTGGCCACCTTCCATTCTGATTCTGTTCCTGGGTCGACGGCTCTTCAGAATACTCTTCGTTCGACGACTGGGAGTATTCCGCCTCTTCCAGGGTTTCATTCTGCTTCTCCGACTTGGTTTTATCCGAATCATGACCAGAATCCCGCTCCTCCGACTGATATTCCTCTTGTTCTTGTTTGTATGCCATAGCTAGTTGTTTCATGCGATGTTTGGCTTCGATTTTGTTCTTGTCGGAAACTCCCATCCAGATAAGGAGCTTCTCTTTCCATGTGAACTTGATTTCGGGCAAATCGTCGGGCGGCCCATTGTCGAATGGTTCACTGGAGCTTTGAGTGGAGTCTTTTTGAAGAAGCTTCTTGGTTTGAGTTGGTTCTTCTTCGTCTTCTGCTCCTTCGTCTTCGTGAACACTTCTGGAAGTAATGTTAGTTAATTAAAAATTCAAAATCCTCAATTTCGAACAATTTTAGGTCCTAAAAAATTTTTTTTTGAACTTACTGCAAGGATGGAAGAAACGGTGTCCTGACCGGTGATTTTGATAACGAATGCTTTTCTTTTGGATCATCAAACTATAATATTAGAATTTATATACATTTTCACAAAACAAACATACAGTGCCATCACCATTGCTTCTCAAACTGATTCGTTCTCGAGTTGGCGAAGCCGACGACTTTTCGCTGCTTTGTCGCTGAAGTCCATTCGGATCTTTTCTTCGTTTTCCTGCGGCCAAAGCATAAATCTTCTTTTTCTCCTCGGTTCTTTCTTGAGTTAACTGCTCTGATAATTCGTGATTGGCTTCTTTTAGACCTCGGTTCAGTGATACCATAAAGTAAATTACTAGTCTGTAAAGAAAAATACCAGTAAAAAACAAGTTTTTAAACACTGCATATATTTTCATACTTTACAACGTATTTTTAGTCTTTCAATACATCAACTTACAACAAAAAAAGTAGAACAGGTACAATAATGCCGGGAGACATCATGCTTTCAATTCCATCAACAAGATTCTTGTTCAAATTGCTCCTCAATGCGTCTCCAATTACATCGTAAAAGTGTTCTAGCCCTCTAAAAGATCTTTATATTATCATTGCCATCAAGCTTCTTTTTATATCCAACTTTATTTTATCAAAAACTCTAATTTTTATAACTTTCATGCCTAAAACAATCTTTTCTCCCGATTTCATACCAACTTTAACCTAAAACAACATCAATATTCCATACAAAACTCACGCAAAAGGCCCACAACTTCTAGAAGGTCTAATAGACGCAATTACATATCCAACAGGTATGGTTGATACCAAGAACATGACCAATAACAATATCAAAAAGAAATTATTTGATCTTGAAGCCCTGAAGATTTGTTTCGCCGGTACATTACAAGTCATTACAGCCCAGCCACGTATATACATGATGATGATCAACTTGATAATATTGATCAATGGCAATAACGGGACAAAGATAGTACCAAGCCATACTAATGTCTGATCTTTGATTAGATGAAGCACGTTTTCTGAGATCTTGAATTCACCGTATTCTGGCTAAAAACTTCAGTTTTAATCAAAGAATTTTTTGAAATCATATTTGTTTTCTGAAATAATCATTTCTAATAAAAAATAACTTACAAACTGCTCCTCCAGATTCCAGCACCAAAACGAGTTGCAATGTCGTACCCACAAACCTCTCAGAAAATCAATGACCATGATGATAATAATTGTCATAATCAGATCAGTTATCACCAACTTTGTAATTTCCTGACCCATGATCGTTTCCCAACATATATCCCCCTTATATTTACTGTACCTCCAACCCCCCTTATACTTTGGAGAGTTAGTATAATGTAAGGATTGTTGCTCTCCACGCTTCCAGTCTTCTGATTGGCCAATCGGCCGACTTTCGTATATTGTTTTATGCAGTTTTTGTTGCTTCGAATCGCTTATTACAATAGCTTTAGGGTTGTACAGTCCAACACCAAACGGACCGTAGTTTGAGAATACTGTAGTCCAAGGAGCTGACGCTGTTATTGGGCTCGGGGTTGTTAACGTTGAGTTAGATGAACTGAAAACTGTATTTGAACTTGTGGTTGATATAGTCCGAGTGTTTGATGCTGTTGACGAGCTAGGATAACTGTTTGTTGATGTAGATACTTCAGTGTATCCATTGGAGCCAGTTTGACGCCCATTAGTCCCATTAGAACCCGCCTGACGCCGATTATAACCATTAGACGCCCTAGAGCTCCTATCCAGACCATAATTTTTCCTATATCTGCTATTTCTACTACCATATCTAATTTTAGCGCCATCAGCACCAAAAATATCCGGCAGAAGAAATCGTTCGTCCTCATAATCCTCCTTTTTCCTCCATTTCTTCCGTTTCGTTTCACGCACGAATCGGCTAGATTCAGGACTAACAACATCATAATGAGATCGATCTGAATTTAGATTGTAGACAATACTAAAGGGCTTCGAAGTCTGGACAGCTGGCTCGTCGATGAAGCGTGATTGAGCTTGTAATGAGTTAAGTTTGTAGAATAATGAGGCGAAAAGAGAGTAGTAGGCTATGATGTACAGGAAGAATACCCTAAAAACAAAATTTTTTTTCATTTTCAACTCATTGTCCTCAGGACTATACAGTGATAAGAGAAATTAGAACAATTCTCTCCAACAAATTTTTCAAATTCCAATGACTAATCCCAAAATTCCAGTATACCTTACCGCGCCAAATGTAATCGTAGAGCTTTTCGAGGATGGAAATGCTCAACATGCCCAATAAGTTCAAAGACATTCGGCAGAACCAATGTGGCCAATGACACTATAATCGACACAGCGTTCTGAAAACGAGCGTTTTATTACCTATTTGTCATCATTTTGTACACCTTATAGTACCTTTCTTTACATCTGACAACCCTTTTTTATTTCCATTATCCAAAAACATCAAAAAAGTAAATATTCTTTCATTTTACAATCCATACCTGCTTAATGATTGTATTCTTATCGGTAATCTGACTAGCCTTCCAAATACAAAACCCGGCCAAAGCGCACAATGCACAAATTCCAAGATTTGATGAAATCAGCACAATTAGTCTTGTGAAGCTGAAAATACATCAATATAAACGATATTAAAATATATTTTGCATTTTCATTCTGGCCGTGATTTGGGCCGTTGCACAAAAATAAAGATTTTTATACCAATACAAATTAAATCCATACACTTTGCAAACACTAAAAACCTACTTCATTTTCTTTTGTAACTTCTGATTCACCTCTTCCATCGCCTCTTTTAGCTTTGTGACATTAGCCTTGTACAATGATATTGCAGTTTCTGGATTACCAATCGAACAATCCCATCCATTGACAACTTTCCAAGTGAATGGATATTGATTCACTTTTCCTCCTTGCAATTTACTTGCTCTGGCATTTGAGGCCATCCTAAAACAAGTAAAATAATAGTACACAAAATACTTGATATTAACATCGACCACAGTGCCTTCATAGGTTAAAAAGTCCCAAAAAAAGCCTAAAATACTAGCCAAATAAGAAAAAATAACTTACTTTCTCAATATCAAAAACAAACTAAGTCCAAGAACAAACAAATTCACTATAAAATACGCCAGCGGCACTCGATATTGGAATGGACCTCTAGCTACCAGCGTATCACTACTATAATATCCGTAAAATATGTAGGAATATTGTAGATAGCCCTGAAACGTAAATTATATCAGCATTGGGCAAACAAACTCAGTTTTGTAAGATAAATTAGTTTTTTTCTTCAATTGAGACCTTAAAAACCAAAATCATAAATAATATCCGCTTAAACGTGTGTAGAAAAAGTTTAAATTAATAACATACGCCAAAGTCGAGTATCGTTTTCCATTCATCTGCATGACTTCGTATTGCAACTGGCATCTCTTTTATGTGTTTTGTCCGTCGTATACGGCTTGGCAGACCTCTGGAGTCTTCTAGCCACTAAAACAATATAAATAAAATTTAAAAATAAAAAATTGTTTTAATTAATATTACTATACTTTGATAATAAAGTTTTTTAAGAAGATTTGTACCTAAAATACCAAAAACAAGCCTTACCTCTGGAATTACCACGAAGAAACAGATGATGGATATCAATATTAAATTTACGTACACGAGCCATCGCAAAAATACAAAGAATGAAGATACGACTGTGCCAAAATGACCTAAAATAATATTTTTAAATGTTAAGCCCAATTAAAATATTACTTTTATGGAACTCTATTTTTTATTTTTAGGTAACAAATCGAAAAATCTATAATTATTTTTTGAAGAATACAAAAAAATCCTAAAAACCATTTCAAGATCAAGCCGAAATTTCGCCAAATTACTGTTAAATCCCGAAAGACAGAAAATTTTCTCAAAAAAAATTGAATTTATCAACCGCAACCTGCTCAACTTGATCTGCAGGCCGCAGTTCAAACCCTGCCAAAAAATACCTTTCAAATTATCAATTTACCAAGCAAAACAAAAATCCCAAAATCCTCTTCAATTTCGAGCCATAACTTCGCAAAATCCAATTCTAAGTCCGAAAAACAAAAATTCCCCCAATATTATTAACTGCAACCTGCCAACCGGGTCCGCAGGTTGCGCTGCTCAGAAACCCGCGCAAAAGTGTCTTTTGACTATTCCATTGCACCGTGCAAGCCTTTTTTGATGGCCGAAAATTCCCCTTTCGAAGATCGAAGGGTTTTCGACAAATTTGGCGATCCCAAAAAACCCCAAAATCGAGCCATTTTCGGTTTTCTCTAACTTTCTCAACCCACTCTCCGTTGTTGCAACGCTCTATCTTTGTCGCACGCCCAATCTCTCTTGGATTTTACAATTGCGCAACATCTTTTCGCGATCACTCTTTTTCTCTAACCGCTATCCTTCAATCGCATGTCTCTCCTTTCTTGATTGCACCGTGCGAAGCCTTTTTCAATTGCCGAAATTCCCCTTTTGAAGATCGAAGGATTTTCGACAAATTTGGAGATCTCAAAAATCCCAAAATCGGGCCATTTTTGTCTTTCTCTAACCTTCTCTGACCGCTCTCTCCATCGCAACAATCTCTTTTCGTCGCATATCCACTCTCTGTTGTCGCAACGCTCTCTCTTTGTCGCAAGTCTGCGTCTCTCTTTTTTCACAGTTGCGCAATGTATTTTTGCGGTCCCTCCTCTTCTCCAGCCTGTCTCTCTTGTTTGTGCACCCTCTCTTTCCCCGATTGATCTCGCCGAATTTGGCCTCAAAATCCTTTCGAAGAATTTTGACGATTTTGGGGAAAATCAAAAGACCCAAAATTGGCGATTTTTGAGAGTCAAAAAAACCTTTGCACCGTGCAATGGACAGGGAAAACGAGAGAGGGCGATTTGCGGAGAGCGGTTAGAGAAAAGGAAGGATCAAGAAAAGACCTTGCGCAACTGCGACAAACAAGAGAGAATGGACATGCGACAAAGAAAGAGCTTTATGATCAGAGAGAGTGGCCAGAGAAGGCTAGAGAAAAACAAAAATGGCTCGATTTTCGGGTTTTTGAGATCTCCAAATTTGTCAAAAACCCTTCGATCTTCGAAAGGGGAATTTTCGGCCATCAAAAAAGGCTTGCACGGTGCAATGGAAAAGTCAAAAGCGACTTTTGCGCGGGTTTCTGAGTTGTGCAACCTGCGGACTTGGTTGGCAGGTTGCAGTTAATAATATTGGGGGAATTTTTGTTTTCCGGACTTCGAATTGGATTTTGCGAAGTTATGGCTCGGGCTTGAAAAGGATTTTAGGATTTTTGTTTTGCTCGGTTAGTGAAAATTTAAAAAGGGCTTTTTGGCGGGTTTTGAACCGCGGTCTGCAGATCAATGTTAGCAGATTGCGGTTGATAAATCCCAATCTTTTTGGAAAATTTTTTGTGTTGCCTGCCTCGGATTGGATTTTGTGAGTGTTTGGCTTGAGCTCGGAAAGGATTTTTGGAAGTTTTGGTTGATGCGTTGAACTGTAGCCAGATTATAGGTTTTGTTGGCATTTTCGGAATATTTCTAACAAAAAAAAATTTTTTTAGGTAACAAACTTCTGTTTTACAACGGCATACAGTTTTTTTGCCTCCTATTGATTCTGAAGGAAATATTTTTTGAAATAGTGGTTTGAAAAATGTTGCTTCAGATTTGTTACTTAAAATATTGTTTTTGCTATTTTTAATTTTTTAACCTCTCCATTGGAAGGAAGAACTTTTGTATGAAGTTTAGGTAACAACGTACTTTCGATTCGTCGTATTTTCGATTCCCATGGAATGAAATACATTTTGACATTGTCGAACCATCTTATAAATTGTGTGAATCGTTTTGTTGCTTCCACACGGTACAGATGCCATTTGTCGACTTCTGCTTCTTTTTTCGAAATATATCTTTTTGTTACTCTGAAATAAGTTTTACGCATGTTTGAGTTGAATAATTTGGTATTTTTAAATTTGAAAAAACTTTTTTTAAAAATTTAGGTTTTAAAAAAATTTTTAGGTAACAACTTTCAATAAGGTTCTGAAACAAAAAACTTAAAAATATATTTTTAGATAAAATATGTCATATTGGCAACAATTCTTACTTTAATGTCCTTCTTTTTCTTTTCATATTCCATGGCTGACATCTGAGCTTCTCTATGACCTCCTTCTTTTGCCTTATCATTTGCATAATTCGCTCTTTCGACGGTTTTTCATGAATTTCGTCGTCCTCATCGCTGATATCTGAGTCGCTGCAATGTTTTACGTTAGCTTTTTGTCATTTTAAACTTTGGTAATTATAGTTTGTGATTTTTGGCACAATTTTTGGCTATAATCATTATAAATTTTCTAACTTCTTAATGTTCACAGTCTTTTTTCGAATTCCTTTTAACATTTTGGATCGATTTTTAAAAATTTTGGCCAACTAATAAGACCATCAAATTTAACATGGTCTTTAAACAAAGGAATGTAATTTGTTCAAGAAATAACATGGAATGTCATTTGTCGGCCATTTTTCAACAGCCCGACTGATAAAACACCTGGCGCTGCGGAAAGCCGCAACCATAGCGTTTTTTGGCACAAAAGTCTTTTGGCACGAAATTATTCGGTGCTCATAAAAAGGGATCTGACTGGCAGCTAAGGCAACAAAAAATTGAAATTAATAGTCCAATATGTTTTATGGAGGCACGTAGGTCTATGCGAATTTTAATTAGTATTACTATTTTTTATCATAGAGAGATGATTTTTGACAAATTGATTATTGGTTTGGAATTGTGTTGGCTATCAGGTTTTTTTGATGTGGAGGAGGGGTTTTTTGGTCAGGCGGTGGAGGGTTTAATTTTTTTTAATGTCAAAAATCCACAAGTACTGAAAAAAAATTCGCACTCCACTCCTTCCATAATCAAAATTAACCGTTCAGAACTAAACGTGCTTTTTTACTTCTTCTCTGATACTCTCAAAAAGTTATTGAAATTTTGTGTTTGACCTACTCTTCTTCGAACTTGTTCCGTTTCTTCTGCGCCACACTTGAAGATCTTCGAAATAAAGTCATCAAATCGACCAAAACCGAAGACCTTCTCGACAATCTTGCTGTAGAGCTTTCCTCTTCCGAATTCGACTCATAATGTCCATCATCATGCTTTTGGGTATCTGTAGCCGATCGATGTACGGGTCGTGGACGACGTTTTGGCGATTTAAGCGACCGTGATCGCGATACTCTGATTTTTGGCGGTTCTAATGTGTTGCCAGAGGATTGTGAAGCCGGACGGTTGGCTTCGTAGTCCGGCTCTACAACCATTTCGTCGCCTCCATCGCCTAAAAAGCGACGGAAGCGACGCCAGACGTTGTTCATTAAAGGACTGAAAGTTTTGAGTTTATTTGTAATAGGGTTTATTGTAAACTACGTTACATAAATGTGTATGGTAAAAGATTTAATTTAGAAGAAAATGTAAAAACTTTATGAATAAATAAAGACAAAAGCGGTAGCAATAGTAATTAAGGTAAATTAATATCATTAAACGGTATAAATACGACCTGAATCATTTTTAAAATTCATTAGTTCTTAACTGAAAAAAAGCTTAAATTTTAGAAAATTTTAACGAATAAGAATAAAATACTTTTTGTGTAGTACAGTCTCTTCTGTACCGTTCGAAGAAAAGGTTTTGGGACACTGTCATCCCTTGAAACTTTTAAAAAATTTTAAACCTTGAACTTTGTAGCCTTCCTGACTACTCTCTCAACTTTCAGATCATGTATCAGATTATGCAACAAACTTTGAAACAATGTATTAAGTTATGTCTTGCTACATTGTTTTGCAGACAAACTGTCAATCCGCGAAACCCGTGTAAACGTCCCAAAAAAACCCGAAACCCGCGGTATCGAATGACCATAGTTGAAAAAGATAAACATTTGTACGAAGTGATACCGAAAACAATGCAAAAACAGGCGGGCCCAGCATTGAGTGGCCGTTGGAGCGGCCGCCGGCATTATATCTCTTCGGCTAGGGTCAGCGGGATGGTCGGCCGTCGTCGTTCTGATCAATTAAACGGGCGAGAAATAAAGGTGGGGGAAAAATGGCGAGGACCCAGGCGCCCCGTCGGCTTCAAACCCTTCTCGGATCAATCAAGAGTTGTTCTACCTTTTCGAAAAAAGCCCATTCCACCCCGGAGGGCACCTTTCTTTACCTTTTCGAATCCACACAGATTATTTTTATTTTTATTCGCACCTCTGTCGCGGCCCCGAATGTCAGCGGAGAAAATATTTATTGGTGTCTCGGAATGTTTCGACTTTCTCTTATTTGAACCGTCTTGGCTTCAGCTGGTCGCCAAGCTTTGGTTTTGAGGCTTGTCTAATTAAAATTTGAAACAATTACGAATTTACTAATTTTAAGTGTGGCTTAATGATTATCTTTACGACTGGATGGTTTAATATTTAGGACTGGATGGTATTAAAAGACGTTCTACCTTGAAGTTTTTCAAAGAGATGACATTCGACTTTGGTCAAAGCTCAATTTTTTGATTTAAAAAAAATTTTACTTTGTAAGTTTAATTCGTTACGAATACTCAAAAGCATGATGATGGATATTATAAATCGAATTCGGAAGAAGAAAGTTCTAGAGCAAGAATGTGAATAAGCTTTTCTGAATAGGTTAATTCGAAATTTGTTGTGACGATTTTCCAGTTTAGATCTCCATTCCTGTTTGCAGCATCTAGACCAAAGTTTATATTTTTTAAACTATTTTTTAAAATTATTTTAAGCTATTTTTTCTTAGTTTTTTGCAATTTTTTTGAACTAATAACAAGAAAGAAATTTTTAACCTTGTGTTTTTACACTTGTAAGTTTATTAATTAAGAATGATAAGAAAATAATATTTGAATTGAAAAATATTAGAAATACATTTTATATTCCAAAAGGAATACTCGTATTTCGGAAGACGACTTTGTTGCCTGAAATAACTTAGAAACTATGAACATGAGACCCGAACAACAGAGCACGTGTACTCTTTTCGAACCAGGATTATCGAGATTGCGGTTGGTGGATTATACGAAACAAGTTATAAGCAAACAGTACGTTTTCGTCGAACAATGGATTTGAGATTTGGGTGCGGGGTAAAGTGGGTATGATTTTTCAAGCATTATGAAAACAACAGTTACTTGAAGGCACTCCTACCATAATACCTTTTTAGTACTGGTAATAATTAGACTATCAGTCTCATTAGTACTAGTAACAGCAAGAAAACCATAACCAATTTAACAATAGTCATAACTATTTTGACCACAATCAGTTCGTTATTAGTGAGAAGCAGATAAGAAGCACCTGGCCAAACATGAACAGATACTCCTTGCCTCTATTATTTCCAAACTTTAAATTACCATACAAAAACACAAAGACCACCCAAAATACTCGCATATTTAACAACTAGTAAAGCAGACACAAAATTAGACAAATATACAAATTAGTTCAGAGTTTACAGTTGTTTAAGCCAGGTATTCGTAAGTGTCCATTCCTTCGTCGGCACGTTTTAGGTATTCTTTCTCAATCAACATGTCAATACACTTCTTGATCATCGGCACTTTTGGCGTGAAACGGGAGGACAATTGGCCAAGAACTTCACTTATCAGCAGATTGTGTTTGAGACTCTTCCGGGTCTTCATGATACGGACAATGCAGGCCTAAAACGAACCAAATTAAACTTAATATGAAAAAAAAATATAAAAATGTATTAAAAATTACAAAAATCAACGTTTTCATTAAAACACACAACACTTAATTTAAAGATCATAAAAAGGTAATAAATATAAGAAAATATACTTTTTATTAGCTAAACATACTTATTGTTACCTAAAATCCACCTTTTCCAAAAACAAAGATTTGAAACCCTTATATAATAACAATATAATCAATTATCCCCAAAAACATACCTGAATAACCATCTTCCTGTCTTCTTCCACACTTTGTTGAACTTCGTCGTTCTCCTTCTTGGTCTCGGCCTTCATTACGACCTTAGACAAGTCGACCTTCATTTTTCTGTTAGAGAATTGTTCATTCAGCGTTACTACAGTGTTCTCGTCGCTGACCTCACCACTGAGGGTAAACAGTTCTCCCTTGATGCACGACTGAAGTGCTGGCACCAACGAATCCGAGGTCATATTCAGATTTTTCAACAATTCCGAAACCTTGTAAGACAATTTGTTGTTAAACTGCATCAGAACCGAGATCTGGGCCACCGTTGTGATGAAAGTGTAGCGCTTCGGAAGGGTATAACTCATGACCTCACCCCGGCACATCTGAAGCAAATAGGTGAGGCGTCTTCCATTGTGGCGCTGAGCGTAGAACTTGGAAAAAGTGTCGATGGACTCGTTGAGAGATGGCGGCAGCTCAAAAGTCATGGGTTTGTTGAAAGGCCACACGCCACTGGCCAGGATCATGATGCCCATGTCGACGGTCTTTGTGCCATTCTCAATACAGTTCTTCTTAAACTGGTCCGATATTTCTTTCGACAATGTAGCATCCGTGATCATCCTCTGAAGTTTGGAGGTATATTCGAAACCACACATCTGTTTCAACTGGTTGATCATGGTCGATTCGGCTTCTTCTGAAGATGAGAGCTCGTTGACCAAGCGTTTCGCCAGGAACTTAGAATAGAACTTTTGGAAAACATCTTTGTCGTCAATGTACTTGAATACAACCATCTGCAAACAATATAATTAGAAAATATTACCTAAATTACTAATTCAAATCAAAAGAATCTTCAAAACAAGTACTTACTACTTGATTGAGCAATTCCTCAAGTTCACGGTCTTCAGGATTCTTGGCACTCTTCCTCAACAACATGTCACAGCATCTGGCCAACAACTCCGGTGATTTCGTCTGACTCTTTGCCATTTCCGTAATCTTATTTTTGTTGATAAAAGAGGTAAAGGCCTTATCCATCGACTGAACAAAACCAGTGTCAGCCCTGAAACTCTTTGTAACCAGCTCATCGTACTTCTTGTGGACACCCAGAATGATGTTGACATATTGCTTGGGGTCCTGGAAAGCTGTGGTAGCGCATTGTGCTATAGCCGCACGTCCAACCTTCTCTACGTGAGTTTCCAACAACTTTCTCAAGTCGTCCAACGCACCGTCGACATTTTCACACAAGTGGAACATCCTAGCCATGTCATCGTCTTTATCGTTGTTCAAAAGCTGATCAAATTCAACGTTGAAGGCAGCAAGATGTTGCTTGATCAATACCAAATGGCAGATCTTGATTAGCGGATCTAAACTTGAAGGATGAAGATACAGCATGCATCGATCTCGTTCTTCTCTTAGCCTTGATTCGACTTTCTTCAGGTACTCGGTTATCGAATTATTCTGTACAAAATGAACTGATTCGGTTGAGTAGTACTCTCGAGTGTTCTCGATGAAAGGAGTTTCAAACTCGCGACGGTAGACACCCAGCTTGAATTCGGAGTTCTGTTCCTTTGATCCAACCAGAGAAGCTTTTTGAGTTTCCTTCGGTTCGTTGACACCAAGTTCAAGGTAAGAACTGACTACACCACTAACGAGTTGAGTAGTGATCTTCTCTCCGTCTCGTTCCTGTTTGATGAGGTTGATCAGGGCTGGAGTGAGATTCCGTTTGATTGGCTCGAAAAGGTGCTCTTGCCACATAAGGACTGTCAACTAAAACAGAATAGGTTAATAAATAATAAAATGAAGTAAAAAGTTTTAAAAACAACTCAAAATCAATTCCAACTTACACTATATACTTCGACAACCTTCAGCTTTCCTTCGTCCATCTCCCTCTTGATCCAATGCCGATTCAGGTACGAGAAGATACCATTAACCACGGTCGAAGAGAATTGGAACCGAGTCCATAACTCCGTGTATTTCTGTAACAAATCTTCACCATGAAGACCATCCAGCTGCTTCAATTGTTCCTGAACGTGAGCAGTGACGAAATCTCTCAGCTTCACGTATAGTTCGGCTCCAATAAAGTCGGCACCTTTCTGTTCACGCTGGTTTCCATTACGAGTTCGTGGCGGTTCGCTTTGTTCTTCAGGATGCCGGGTACAGAAGTTAAAGACTTCGCTGAATAATGAATATTTTAGGTATTATCACAAACATTTTTTTAAATAAAGAACACCAACAACCACATTTTCTTAAAATCTTCACCTCAAAGCTTCTTCTTTTTTACCTAAAATCACAAAAATCAACCAAGAAACTTACGTATAGAGGCCCATATACCGTTTAACAATAACCTTGGAGTTGTGGTCGTATATCAATTCTAATCCCTCTTGTAATGTTCGCCATGTCTCATTAACATCAACCATCTGGAAATGTACGTTATCAAATAAAAAGTTTCAATTTACAAAGCTTACACGGAAAATATCAAATTAAAAAAAATTGAAGACAAAGACTTTCAATCTTCCGTAAACCTTAATTTAGACTTAATCAAAGGTTCGAAGGTTTAAATTAAACTTGAATACGCCGAACACAACATTACTAATCATCTTCACACAAAATATACCAAGTTGTAAATTAAAATATCAAATATACGTCATGTTCAATATATATACACAAATATCTTCGATAGTAACATATATAATCAATGGTATTTAACCAAAACCAACAAACACGTTCGACATTGTTTAACAAAACTTTATTTTTATACTCTTAACTTCTTAATTTAATATCAACCAACAACAAACCTTTAACATTTTTAAACGTCAAGAAGAAGATAGAGAATATATAAGGCAACAACACAACGGAATGAAAAAACGAACAAAGTAAAAAGAATAGAAATGGCTGAATTTGATCGAAAATAGGCAAAAAATAATAAAACACGTTTGAAACTAGCAATTTTATGCAAATACAGCCAAAATCAACCGCAGTATAACCGTATATCCTCAGAAAGTCAAACAAACATACAAAAACCCTAATTGAATCTGTTTAACATTATCCTATCTCGATCATTCCACATTAACATCAAAAAATGCCAAGTATATATCATTGATCCCTAACATCGATAATGAAGCGAAGGCTAATCTTAAGCTGTGGCTCGTTTGAACACAAACTTGTTGAAAATAGTGTCAATTCTAGCCGACACCTCCTTCATAGTCAATGATGCGTCCAAAGAATGATGAATACCCTTCTTCGAGTAGTAGTCGACCAAAGGTGAGGTCTGAAAATAAAAAGGAGAAATATTTCCGAAAACTTTTATTTAAAAGCTGATTAAGACGCGGAGTACTCTTCGACGCTAACACGCGCATAAGGTACCTTTTTATACGTTTTCTTTGCAAAAAACAAATATAACGCCGTTGCATAATATTAAAGATTTCTTAAAAAACGCCAAATACAATTTTAACAAACTAACAAAAACTTTAAAACTTTTAAAAAGTAGGTCTCAAAACGTTACAGTAAGTTCAAATAATAATATATTTAAAAACTATTTTTTAATTGTTAAAAAAATGAGTAATATCTCAGTTGAAAGTTACAGCGCAAAACAAAAAATGTTTTTTAATTACCTACTATAACATAAAATATTTTTCAAATGTGTCTTAACATAATTCTTTTAACCAAGCTTAGGGTTAGATATTCAAACTATAGTCTAATAAATGAACAAAAAATTAAGATTTACCTGAAGATGATAGGCACTCAGACGTTTTCTCAATGTAGCCTCATTGTCATCCGCACGACGGACCAATGGTTCTCCAGTAATGTCGTCAGTCATAGACTTCTTTGGAGGATTGAACTCGGTATGATAAGAACGACCACTTGCAATGTGAAACAATCGACCAGTAATCCGCCTCACTAACAGCTCATCCTTGATTCTGAACTCCAAAACAGCGTCGAGTGGAGTTCCTCTTTTCTCCAAAAGTTTGTCCAATTTTTCAGCTTGAGGTACTGTACGTGGAAATCCGTCCAACAAGAAGCCCAGCCTGCATTCGGGCTTGTTTAGGTTTACGTTGACCAACTCTACAACTGTGTCATCCGAAACTAGCTTGCCGCCATCCACTGTGGCTTTGATAGACTTGCCCAACTCGCTTCCTGATGAAATCTCAGCTCGAAGGAGATCACCTACAAAAAGTTGTTTTAACTGTTAAAGCAAAACATTTTTTAGGTTTTGGCCAAATTTTAGCAAAGGATACTCAAAAACAGCCGAGTTATTCACATTTTGAGTTGACCTTGCTTGACAAAGTTAAAGCAAAAAGTAAAGCGTTTATTTTATCAACAAATCAACAAAATCCCAATCAAATAACTCACCAGTAGCCAAGTGACATGCCTTCAATTTTTCCGCCAATCGAGGAGCCTAAAACAACAACACTTTTCAAAAATTGTCTCCATCTACCTGTGTTCCCTTTCCCGACCCAGGTGGACCAAGTAGAATAACACCGTGACAGCGTTCGGAATCTCCGCTTTCAGTTCTTGGAGCGGTTTTTGGAGATGCTGACATTCCTAAAATCAAAATATTCACCTCATTTTAGGCGAAAATTTTAGATTTCTTCGCAAAAATTAACAAACTTCAAAGAAATTTCGCGATATAAAGTTATCATCAGATCCGAAAGTAAAATAAAATGGTCTTGGCAAGAAAACGAGTCTCGCCACTCGTCTAAAAATAATTATACCAGTGACCTGAGGTGAAAGGGCACGTCAATCAGAACCTTGAAAATAAATATGCCACAAAGCATTTCTTGTGCGATTCGCGCCCATATAACGTGACGAGAGTGCGGGCTGCGATAGAAATCTTTACGAAAAATATTTTTCTTTTTTTGGGGAATTTGTAAAACAACATTATTAGCCATAGGACATACGAAATAGACTGTTATTGTATTCGGAAATAAGAAGAGAAAGTTAAAAAACATGTCATTTTTTATTTTTTGACAAACAGCGATTGGGAATGAAAATACATAAGGAAAATACTAAATTTTCAAGTGCGCGACATTTTGAATGCACATAACTTTGTCGAAAGGCAAGATAAAAATCTTTAATCCTGAGGAAATGTACAATTTTATACGTTCTACAATATTTTTTAGTTTAGTTAATTTTTGAAAAAAGTTATAGCAAAAAAAAACAAATAAATAGTGATTTGCTATGTATAATATAAACTGAAACCTTTTAACCGGTCTTTTTATAAATTTTCTTCAGACACTGTAAGAGATTTTCTACCAAAAAAGAAAGAGCAACCTTTTTACTACATTTTGATTATATTTTTTGTGTAAACAGAACCCTGATTTTTTGTTGTTTTAAAGCAGAGAAGATAACAATATCAAGGTATAAAATCAAGAAGTGGGCGCGTTTTGCGACAAAGTACGTTAAAGTCTTTGCACGTCTAAAGGTTGTACTTTTGTAAACACTTTTAAATAAAGGTGTATTGTTTTTTTTTGGAAAAGGGTTGATTTTTTGTTTTACGCTAGAGGGTGTATTCGATTTTAAGGGGAAACGTCGAATTTGAATTCACTTTTTTATATTATTTAAGCTTGATATTTTTTATTACTATTTATTCTGATTAGCAGTAATTTTAAATTAATTTCTTATTTTATTAGAACTCCGTGTCAAACCCGAACGTATACACAAGTTCCCTGACCAAAGCACACGAATTCGAGTGTAACAAAAGTCGATGGTCCGATCATGACTGATAATGTGCTCAGCTTTACTAAAGACGTCTTCGATGGCGTGACAGTGAAGTCGACCGTCAGTTTTGAGAAGGATTTTGAAAATACTGTGCCGAACACGGAATTGGCGACAAAATGGCTGGAGACTTCAATTGAATTTTGGAAAAATCAACATTATAATGGAGTTTGGTTCGAAGTTGATCTAAAGGTAATTTTTTGCGAATAATAGTAGAGAAATAATTAATAATGTGCTAACAAAAATGTATATTTAGTTATTATAACACGTCTGGAATGATCAGGTCCCCCCCACAAACAGGTCCCCCCATCGATCAGGTCCCCTGCTCAATCAGGTCCCCGCATCGAACAGGTCCCCCCTTTAAAAAAATAAGTAAATTAGATAAAATGGCGTTGCTTTATAATGTTTTGGTACTGTATGGTACTAATGGTACTAATTTTCAAAATTTTGTGCTTTTTGCTATTGTATGGTACTAAATAGTACCCATTGGTTATACTAGTAAAATTTTAATATAATTTCATAATTTTTGATACTCTATGGTACTAATGGTACTAACTTTCAAAATTTTATTATAACATTGCGGAGTAAAAAACGTTTTTATTTTTGGTTTAGCACATTTACTGGGTACCTATACTTGCTCAACATGGTTTTACGTTTCACAGAGCTAGAGATGAGTTGTGTGTTATGATCAGATGGTTACCTGAGGACAAGCCCAACACGTTGCCTTTGTAAGTCATTATAATTACAATGTTATAAAACTTTATAGGTCTAAGTTAGGTATTTTAGTATATAAGCTAGTACTTTTTAAAATTTAGATACCCTTTTACGTCAGTTGGAGTAGGAGGTGTTGTGGTGAACAAGAAAGGCGAAGTTTTGTTGATGAGAGAGAAGCGAGGATCATATTTGGGCTGGAAGTTCCCCGGAGGTTTGGCCGATCCAGGAGAACGGATTTCAGAAGCCGTCAAACGTGAAGTCTTGGAGGAAACTGGGATCAAGGCCGAGTTTAAGAATGTCATCACTTTTAGGTGGGTTTAGTCATTTACCTTACTTTATCAAAAGCTTACCTACTAAATATTTTAGAGGTACTTATACTAATTTTTTATTGTATTTTATATTTTTTAGTAAGATTTTTTTAAATTTATGAAACGTTTCAGGCACATAACTCAATCTTTATACGAGAAAAGTTGTGATCTCTACTTCTTGTGTTACATGACACCCGTTAATGAAGATGACATTACTATTGTTAAGTGTGAAAGAGAGACGGCTGACGCTAAATGGGTATCAAGGTAGGTGAATATAGACATAAGCAACGGGCCGGCCCAGCTCACGCCCGGGTTCCCGTCGGACTGGGATGTTTTTGAGCAAACTAAAAAACGGGCTGGGCCTAAAAATTACATTTTTTAAATATTTAGTTCTTAGTTTTATGTTTCCGACTTATAGGTATACATTTAGGTTTAAAAGTCATTTTATATTTTTGTAGAGAAGACATTCTAAAGCTAAGCGAATCTGGTGAAATCCATCACTTCCACATGATCATCCTTGATCGGTTGGACAAGTTGTTACAATCAGGTAGAAATGGTTGTTATCAAGAACAATTCTCATTCAAAGCCGGGTCAAGCACACGACAATGGGATATGTACTTTGTTGACTAGGTTGTTACTGTATAAAATTTTATTATGATAACTAAATTTTGAAAATCCTAGTCCTAACTTCACTTTTGTTTTTATTTGCTACCTCACTTCTATCATATCCTATGTGATCCTAACTATGCTAGGGTAGCCTCGATAAGGTTCAAAAATCACAAGAGGGTTCTCATGAAGAATAACTCCCCAGCAGGTGAATAATAATGCCCCATGGAAATGAGCTACAATCATTTCCCACTTATTCAAATTTTAAGAGTTTTTTTTCAATTTCTCATTCTTTCATTTTGTTTGCTGGATTATGGTCGGACCGCAAACTTACGAAGGAATCACTGATGAAATTGCCAAAAGTAAAAAAAAACAACCGTTGTGTCCCACTTGGTATTACTATCATGCCCCACCTGTATTACTATCATGCCCCACCTGTATTACTATCATGCCCCACCTGTATTACTATAATGCCCCACCTGTATTACTATCATGCCCCACCTGTATTACTATCATGCCCCGCCTGTATTACTATCATGCCCCACCTGTGTTACTATCATGCCCCGCCTGTATTACTATAATGCCCCACCTGTATTACTATCATGCCCCACCTGTGTTACTATCATGCCCCACCTGTATTACTATCATGCCCCACCTGTATTACTATCATGCCCCACCTGTATTACTATCATGCCCCACACTTAGAAAACCTTTATTCACTTTCCCATTGCACTTTGAAAGTGTATTCATTATTCAAAACGTGGTTTACACTTTCAAAGTTTATGCAAAAAATCCCTATAAAAGCAACCGGTTTCCCCAGAAATCGTCATTCGAGCCGAGTTCCGAGGTTGTCTGCCGGTTCTCTCTCCAGCCCCTAGTCGCGCGATGGTCACAACAGCTCCAACACTTGGATCGTTCCCAACCCTCACCTGAGCCAATACCTTCTGGACTAGTACAAGTTAAGTTCAACATAACTTTGTGGGGGAATGATTTTGCGCTTGGGGGAATGATTGTAGCTGGGGGAATGATTGTTCATCGGCCCCCCAAGAGTACTCTTTATTAACATTAAGATTTTTTACAGTAGTCCTTGATTGCTAATAAAACAAACTGTCGACACAAGACTGATTTTTGTTTAAAAAAATCAGATTTAAAGTTTTAACAATTTTAATTCAATATCTGTGGTAAGATAGACAAATGCATTTACAAAACCATAAAGGTAGAAAGAATATATTTTTAATAATAACAGTCTAAAAAATCAAATTTTGTAATGGTTATTTGCTCGCTATTTCTAGTTCTAGTTACGTCTGGAATTGGTGGACGTGATATTAACATTTGAAGTTTAGATTCAAAAAATGTTTTGACATCATCAGCCAAAGTCGTATTATCAAAAACTACTTTCTGCCGTTCTTCCATAAAATTTACGCATTGACCACATATATGTTCAACAAACGGCGTTCCATCTATACAATTTTGGCGAACAAAGCTTAGCTAAAAACGTTTTAAATTTAAAACACCTTTTTTAAACATAGTAAGTCACACAAATCGTACGTTGACTTTGGGATGAGATCTTCATATTTTGAAAGGCTATAATCACTAACCAAAAAGGAAAGTGACCAACCTGCAACTTTCAAAACCTTTCGTGGTATATAATATGTCATAAAGTAAGATATATGTAAACTTTAGTCTTACCTTGAGTGTAATCGAAAAAAAAACTGTTGCGGTGGCGTCCACAACGCTCAAAACATCGACGGCCGTCTATTCTCTTTGAAGATGTGAAAAGACATGCTTTATCTGGAGGATTACGTAGGTGTGATGTTGGATCCTGACAACTAATGAAGCGCGAATAAAAGTTCTTTTTTTTACGATTGTAAATGACATGCTAAATAAAAACTTTATTGTGTTGTTTTAATAAAACTTACTCGTTTTTATTTATTATTGTATGTTATATAAAAAAATTCTACTGTTTGTAAACACAGTAAAAACATTTTACTTTAAACTTACTTCGCCAGTATTCCAGTTTAATATAGCATAATTTGAGAAAGGAGACCAACAATCTTTGTTTTGATTGTACACGCGTTCGTATACTTTTTGTTGTGTATATACATCGTAAAATTCAATTCTGTTGTAGCCGTATCGCCCGTTTGCTTCATCTAATAATGATAATGTATAAAAAAAACTGTCAATAAAAATACTAAATATTAAGTAATATGCTTACTTTTAATATAAAAAAGTCCGACTTCTTCAAAACAACAAAGCCCAAAAGATCTGGTAGTAACGTTGCACAATTTAAACACTTGATCAGTTTTCATGTCCTTGATATGCAGTTCCCCTTTTGATCGTGCTAACATTGGTATATATCGATGATCACTGTATCGGTCTACGTTCATACATTTTATAAATTCCATGCCTGCAGGTATTTCAAATTCCTTATTACTAAACGGATCGTAAATCGTGTTGTTTTCTTTTAATTGAATATAAAATCCCGCATAACACCAAGTTGTTTTAAACTTTTTCAATACTTGGCGTGTACATAAATCGAACAAGTAGGCGGTTTCATTATTTATACTTCCATAGTTGATGATTAGTCGCGTTCCGTTGTTTATCATATGAATCTTGAAGATTTTTTCTTCGAAATATTGTTTAAAATCAATTAGTTGAAACTTGAAGTTGGAAAAATCAATATGCGAAATAATGGCATGATGCGAACCCAAGTAAAACACAACTTTACCGGTATTGGGACAGCTAAAAACACTATAGCCTGTTAAGTCAAATGCCCGGTAGTTAGACCTAAAACAAAGCTGTCAATGCTGGAATTTGAAGTTTTGATTTATTACGAATGTTTAGTGCAAAGTGGTGGGGAAAGTGTTATTGTCAGGCTTACAGGTTTGCTGGACTTTAGACGTTTTCACCTGTCTGCCGTTTTAGTAGAATCTATTTGGACACGAGCTAAATTTGTCTAATGATGCCCCGGTTAACAAAACATTAACCATTTGTAAAAACTAAAAGGTCCGTAAGGCAAGCTCGCACAATATTTGAAACCCTGCCTATTAGTGTATTACTGCTCCACCCCTCTTAAAAGACACTTTTAAAAAATTTAAACTATAATATTCATAAAGTAAAATAATCAATTCAAGTAAAAAAGTGAATATACGTACAAACTAAAGGCTTTAGCCCACGTTTCTCCATTAAATCTGTATATTCCGTCACAGTAACACATTGTCTTGAAGTCTCTGTTGATCCACTTATAGAAGTTTTTATGTATCGATGCCATAGCGGCCAGGCTTTCGATACTTTCAAAATGGTCAAAAATGTTTTCTCATAACTAAATATATAGATTACATGTGTAGAAAAGTCCACAGCTAACTTGGAAATGTACTTTAAAAATTTAAACAGTAAGTATCATATTGATATTAGGTAGTTCACTTAATTCTGCATCACCTCTCAAACAAATTTGTGGGGTTAGGGGGCGCAGAATTATGTGAACAACCTAATATAAATGATTAAAATAAACTATTGTACAACTCCATTATTATACGGGTTTTGATTAAACATAAGCTCCACAATGGTCTGATATAAAAAAGATACAAATAACGTTATAAACTTACTTCGTTTGGAAGTTTTTGCAACCACGTATTCATCTGAAAGGAAAAATAGTTAAAATGAAAATATTTGCTTTAACAAACCAAATGCAGTTATTAGTTAGATAATTCAACAATAGGCGTAAAAAACGCACGCGTTATAAAGCGCGCATTTAGCCAAATTTAATAAGAGAACTTGCCAATAAAGATTGTTGTCGCGGCAAAACCAGGAGATGCCGTTTGACTTGCTTTGCCCAAGGATCTTTATAAGGACATTAAGAACCGAACAATTAGTAAAAATACCATGAGATACGATTTTTGATTTTTGCACATTTATCGGGTACCCATACTCGCTCAGCACGGCTTTACGTTTCACAGAGCAAGAAATGAATTGTGTGTTTTGATCTGAATGTTACGTGAAGGCAAATTCAACACGTTGCCTTTGTAAGTTATTGTGATTACAACGTAATACCATCACCTAGCTTTAAAATGAAATATGTTACTCATAAGCCTGCACTTTTTAAAAATGTTAATTTTAGATACTTCTTTATGTCAGTTGGAGTAGGAGGTGTTGTGGTGAACAAAAAAGGCAAAGTTTTTGATGAGAGAGAAGCGTGGATCATATTTGAGCTGGAAGTTCCCCGGAGGTTTGGCCGATCCAGGAGAACGGATTTCAGAAGCCGTCAAACGTGAAGTCTTGGAGGAAACTGGGATCAAGGCCGAGTTTAAGAATGTCATCACTTTTAGGTGGGTTTATACATATATTCTATTATACTTTGGTTTATCTGTTGGGTCTGTGACGATTTTTAGAGTGCTGTAGATTGAAACTCTTTTGTCAATATTTTGATTCATTTTAATTGTATAAAGGTTTGTTATTATTACTCTTACTCTTAACTTAACCTCTATCTACTCATTTGCTTTTATTAACGCTAAACCATGTCACAGTAGCCCTTGATTACTAATAAAACAAACTGTCGAAGGTACACAAAACTGAAGACCTTCACGCGATTCTCGAACGAAAAATGGCCTTGGAATTTGGGTGCGCTCGAGAGTGACCACCACTTACTTACCCAATAAGTAATCTTATTGTATTGTTTGCGCATCGAGACTCAAACAGTTAAAAATTCACTCTTTATTTGTCCATCTTGGCGGTGCTTCAGGCTGGAGGGTTATTTTTGGGTCAAAAGTTTAGTTTAAATTATGTTCACGTTTAGAGAGGTGCCGGAGGGGTGGATTTGATTTTTTTTGATGTAGTGTTTCTATCTAGCTTGAGGTTTAATTTAGGCTTAAGCGTAACTATAGGCTTAGGCTAGACTTTATTTAGGTTTATGTTTAGGCTTAGGTATAAGGTAGGTTTAGGCTTAAGCGTATGTTGAGGTTTATGCTTAGGTTTATGTTAAGGCTCATCCATAAGGTAGGTTTAGGCTTACGCTTTTTAAGCTTAGTAACTAGGTAAACGGTGTTGCATAGTAATGCCTTGCAAATGAGTGAGATTGCCGCACACGCAGTAAGTTATTGGGTCGTTTTACGGCCAAAAAGTTTTTTTTTTTAATTTCAGTTGATAAAAAAAGTGTGGCGCGAATAAAAATTTCAATTAATATGATTTAAAACCATAGTTTACACCATAAATTTTTAAATCATTTGTTTTAGTTCAAATTCAACAACTGTGGTCCACTAGTTACAAGTTTTTCAAGATTGTACAGTTGGTTTGGCACTAAAATAAAAGTACCCTCTGGTACAGTTTTGACAAGAATAGTATTGTGAGATGACAAGGCTAGTAGCAGTACTATTCCTAATCTTGACATTGTGTTTTATCGGTGTTACGGCCAAAGATGACTTGAAGGTCCAGAAAAAACCGAATCTTATGTTATATACACCAACTGGAGAGCTAAGAGTTCAGCGATTTAGAGCCAAATACCCAAAGGCTAATCAGAAATATCGTGGTAAGACTTTAAATTTAAAAATTTTTAGTTATTTTAAAACTTTGATCTTCAGACTACCCTTATTATTATCATATTATCAGGGTTAAGGCAGCTCTTTAATAGTCAAATCTTATGGCTATTAAAACTTTCAGCGATCTTTTTGAAAAAGTAGTAGATTGGCATTTTATGACCTTTTAAAGAGATATATGACATTCCATGAAATTTTAAAAATTTCAGTTTTCAAAGACCTCAAAGTTCGCAAACCAAGATCGGTCAAAAGATTCATGGAGCTAAAGCCAATGGACATGATGGACCGATCCAGGAACAGAATCGCTGAACCCTTCTGAATACCTTTAGATACCTAATTATTTATTGATTTGACTTTAGTTTAATAAACTATTACATTAAATCTTATACATGGTTTTCTTTTAGTATTTAAGTACGAAAATAAGTTGTAGCTTTATAAAGCCTAAAGTATAAGCCTATTGGCATTGAGAAAAGCTTTTAATCTGGGTACCTACATAAAATAATATAGTTCTTAAGATTAAGAAACGCTTTTCTAATGGAATATTAGGTGCCGACATAAAGAACCCGCCATTTTTTACAGGAAATTAAAGGCAATGTATGGCGGGTTTTTTATGTCGGCACCTAATATTATTAACTTTAAACACTTTTTTTATAAACCTAAGTTTAAAGTTAAAAAATTTTTAGATAAGTTATAACTTTTTAAAAATTTTTAAATTTTAAAATTTTTGCCTATAGTTAGCACTAATCCTAATCAGCATGTATCCTATTGTTGCACCCCCGAGCCTAAACGAACTTTATGCGGAAGTTTGCGTTGGGATTTCCGTTTTTCGTCGCTGTGAAAAAGCGACTCGAGCAACTTATGGACCTTAATCGCGCTGTAACTCAATCCTACAAACAAATGTGTTCCTATCTTTGTTTTAACTTGAAAATACCAATCGTTTCGAACCCGGTTTTAAACTTTTTTTCAAGAAACCGGCCGATTACCCATTATTTGAGCAGTCTGGTCAAACAAAGATTAAAGCGAATCTTAATCGACTTGGCCATGAACCGGAGCGTCGGCCATGAACTGGACCGCTAAACCCGAAAAAGCCCCCCTGAACCCAGGCCATGAGCTCGGGCGTCGGCCATGAACTCGAGCGCTGAACCCGAAAAAGCCCCCCTGAACCCACGGCCATGAACTTTGGAGGGGCGGGGGTTTTAACTAATTTAAGCCTCCGCCTATTCGCCTAAAAATAGCCCGGTTTCGGTTTAAGCGCGACAAAACGATTTTGTGAAGCGCTTCAGGGTCATTAGGCGAATTGACAAGTGGGTAGATCGGTTCGGCCAAACAGTCTGATCTGTTCTGTGTAGATCAGACTGTTTGGGATAACACTCTGACTAGTTGATTTGCCAGGGTGTTATCGACCTTGTTGTGTTTGGTTGATTAGTTTAATTGATATTTGGGTTATTGTGTATAAATATTAGATGCCGACATAAAGAACCCGCCAAACTTTTCCTGTAATTACCTGTAAAAAGTGGCGGGTTCTTTATGTCGGCACCTGATAATTATAATGTTATGCTTGATGTTACGTTTGTCGTTTGATAGTACAGTATGTTTTTTAAAAAAGGGCCATTTTAGGGTTTTTTAAAGGGTTTCAAGTTGACCATTTTAGATATACAATAAGGTTATCTGATCATCAACACATTTTGTTATTAATACGTTTTGCATTTTTACGTGCTATTTTTGATGTTACTCTTTTACATTTTGTACTAAAGCAACCATTTTTTCAAATTTTAGGGTACTTCATTGTACGTTTAGGATCATTATTATAGTGTCTATTGAGTGGCTATCCAGCATTGTTTAGTATAAACTGATTCTACAGTACTCTAAAGCCATCTCTTCAAGCTCAGCGCTGCTTTAGCATACTCAGTAGCGCTGTATTTTCAGTCGGTACTGTTTTAAGTTTCTTGACCTACCGCTGTAGTACCCTACTTTCAACAGTACCCTACATACTACATTACCCTACTTACTACAGTATCCCACAAACTCGCCATGCTTCCATCAGCCTATTTCCTACTGAACCTCCTCTTATTCTCGCCATTCGTCTTATCCCAAGACGGATCGTCAGAACTTTTGTTAGAGAAACACACACTATCCGGTTTGAACTCACGGCTAAAGGTACGGTGCACAGACGACAATCTACGGTTATACTCGAATGCTACAGCATGTGCGGATGAGCGTGAGCCAGAATCCTGTAAAATGATCTTTTCAATTCAATGGAGCAATTCGCCCGCAGGCAGAGATCCAAAGTGTGACAATCCTTTGTTGAAGGATTTGGCTGATCAATGCAGGCATACTTGTGCCATTTGTTGTGAGGATGAGACTTATAGCTGCCAGAATGATGACAGTAAGTTTTGAGAGGATTTTAGGCTTAACTTTAAAACTTTTTTACTAATTTTTGTTTTGTAAAGAAAGTTTTTGCTATTTTTTGTTTTGTAAAGGAAGTTCTTGTTATTTTTTGATTTGTAAAGAAAGTTTTTGCTATTTTTTGTTTTGTAAAGGAAGTTCTTGTTATTTTTTGATTTGTAAAGAAAGTTTTTGCCGTTTTATTTTCTGTAAAGAAAGATCTTGCCATTCCTCGTTTTGTAAAGAAAGTTTTTGTCATTTTTTATGTTAAAAGTTTTAAAAAATGTTTTTTAGTTAAAGATCTGCAATAATAACCATGCCATTTTTAACCCCCTACTTTCAGGTGGTATTGTGAACTGTGAACAGAACGTCGAGAAATGTGGAATGCCCGAATTCTCATCGATGATGATCAAATTCTGTCCCGCCACATGCGGACTGTGTTTGACCAAAAGGTGTCGTGACCAAATTCAAGACTGTGAATCAATGAAATCATTGTGCACCAACGAATTGTACGCCGTGTTCATGGAGCATCAGTGTGCTCGGACTTGCGGCAAATGCAAAACCGACGAAGAAGAGGAGGAAGTAGAAGAAGAAGTGGAAGAAGAAGAGGAGGAAGAGAGTGGACCTGCTAGGAAGACACAAGGTAGGGCAAGCCCATGTTTTTGTTCTGAAACACACAAAACATAAAGTATTACCTAAAATTAAAATTTTAAAATTTCAGGCGTCACTTCATCCTCAGGCAGTACTGGCAATTCCAAAGAATGCGTTGACTTAATGAAAAACTGTGCCAGAAACAAAAAGTTCTGTCATCACCCCAGCTACAGAGAAATGATGAAGAAGAACTGCGCGAAAACTTGTGGATTCTGTAAAGGACCAGGCGGTAGCGGATCGAGCAAAAAGAGCACCAGCAGCTCCAGTGGTGGTGCACCAAGCAGGAGTTTGCAAAGGGAGTGTAGGGACACACATCCATTGTAAGTGAATTTACAGGCTTTAATCTAGTTGGGAAGAGTAGAAATTTAAAAAAAAATTTTAAATTGGGCGGGGTAATTTTGGTAATTTTTAGGAAAAAAAAAGTTTTTTATGTTAGCATAGTCCGACTTTAAGCGAAACGCTACTGAAGCTTGATATAAGCCCTTGGTTCATTATTTCTGCCATTTAGACCTTTTGTCATTTACGACCTCTTTTACAGTAAATTTTAAGCCCTTGAACTCTCATATCAACCGCTCCTTCCAAAAATTGTTTTAAACTTATGACCTACTAGTTTTGACCCTTGAGTCATTAGTTTAAGCCCTCAAGTCATCAAATAGTGACCTTTAGTTTAAAAACGACCTATTTTTAGCTGCAAAGGATGGGCCGCGAACGGCTACTGCGAGAGCGACGACTATACTGAAGAAGAGAAGCGCGACAAGTGCGCCAAGACCTGCGGGCTTTGCTAATCTTGTCTAAATTTTTTAACTTCAAAATTTTCAAAAAATTAAAATTTGTTTTTGAAATTTTTAAAATTTTTGAAAAATTCATTTAAATTCCTATTTTTACTACGTAATTTATCGTATCAATTCCGTCTCAATTCATATCTCGTGTCTGGTATTCTTAACATATTCTTCTTGTTTATGGGTCGTTTATCTTTTGTCATTCTCGTCTGTTCTTATATTGAACTCCACATTTCTTACTTCAAAACCCCCCTAAATTTTCATTTTTTACCTTGTCTTCGACATTTTTATTCATGCCCCCTACTTTTTATTCCTCCCCCCCCTCCCCTACATATATTAATAAACCTACGTCTTCCCCACCATAATAATCTATTATTCCCGTACTGTATCTGTACATAACCGTATGTTGTTGTTTTTAGTCTTCGGCTCACTTCGTATTTATCATTTTATTATTCGATTAAATTTGCATAAACACATAATGAGAAAGTTTTCAACCCGTAATTAAAGCAAGTTTAAGATTGTAGTGAGTTTTGGGCCATTTTACATTTGGTTTTAATGCTAAATAGAACAAAACATCCGGCACAACCTAAAAAGACAAAAAAAATATACATTTTACCGGTCGAATGAACATGCTTAGCCAAATGAGAATTTATATGGTCAAGACTAATCAAAAGACCATAAATAAGGTCCCCACCGGTCAAAGGACCAATAAACCAGCTTTGACCACATACGATCATTCCTAACAGAAATATTTAAAACTCCAAATATAAAGTCACTTTACATTATTTGTGCACCAAAATGAAAAATAATGGTACACTTTTTGTACCAGACAACAAAAAACTGGTACACTTTATAAAATTGCACCAGAATAGAGATAAAAGACGTTAGTTTATGTAAATACAATATAGTCAGATCCATTCATTGGGATAGAAGATCAAGATTTTTCGTGTAGTAGCTGCAACTCCAGTGCTGATGCCTAAAACAATACATGTAAGGTTTTAGAAAAGTCTTCAAACTAATTTTAGGCTTTAAACTGATTTTGAGCTTAAAACTGGTTTTAGGCTTAAAAATATTTAAATTCTCACCGAATTATGTGCCTTATTCAACGAACATAACCCGAACACTTGTTTGATGCATAGCACCGTCGTCACCAAGGATAAGATGAGCTCGAGACACGCCAGTGAGATGATGCCCGCATCCAGACGATAGTCCGTTCCCAGACGACTCATCGAGCTGCAAATTTCAAAATATTAATCATAAAATTAAAAAACTAATATATATAAACGGCCAAACAATAATTTAGAACCAGTCCAAAACGGCTAGAACTTTCTATACAAAACAAAAAATCTAAAACTTTGTTTACTAATTCAAAAAACCATACCTTCTCCTATTATCGTCAATATTTGATCCACATAGAATTTGACATCGACTGTTACGTGGTAAACTCGCTGACAGTAGGTGCCAATCACATTCCCCGTAGCATTCACGCTGAAAAAACAACATTATTGACTGTAATTGTTTAAAATTAAAAAAAATAACAAAACTTGCTCCACAAATCTTAAATTTCAAAAACTTAAATTTTGCAAAACGATAAACATATTTTTGTTTATTTTCAACTAACAAAATATTAACTTACATTATAAAAATGAATGTCGAATGAAGCGACGATAATTGTAGCCGGCACAAACACCAGAATCGCATGAATGCCCATTATCATGAAGGCGATAATCAGTGCTCTTCGATGACTTGCACTTCCAAAAATACCAATCACTCTGAAGTTACAATATAAACAAATTATATTATTATAGAACATCAAAATTTAAAATAACAGTACCGTTCTGTACTCTTAGTATTAATGTGCCAAACTATAGTACTCTTTAGTGCCAAAGTTAAAATTACAACACATTATAAGAACTTACAGCCCTAACTTTAACAATACATCAATCTAAACAACAAAAATAAAATGAAAATCTACTTACCCCATTACGATACAGTAGAAGGCGCAACATTCTATAAGACCGTGCATTCGAAGTGTATTCACTCTGTATGATACATAATCAGCTAAGCCGGCCAATGTGAAGGTTATCAGACTTATCACAACATGGCATTTTGATAAACACTGAAATTACAAAGAGCAATGTTATGTTATTCATGAGATCTGATGTTCAGATTAGTAAAGTTTTATTTTTAGCGTAAAAATTGCTTTTAGAAATAAATTCAGGCTTTAACATATTTTAGCTAACTTTTTTTAAAATTCACTCTTTCAATTTTTAGAATTGGCTCAAAATAACTAACTTTAAATTATAAAAACATAATACCACAAACCTAAAACAAAAAAAATATTACTCTAAGATAGTCGAAAGGCTTCTCTTCATCGGTCAGTCGATTCTGGCTGGTAATTTTGTTCATTTCGAAAACAGTAGACAATCAATATGTAGACACGGTTTCTATGAGAATAAAAAGAATGAATAATATGGGGAAAATGGTTTTTGAGCGCAAATAAATCCTTCTTTTTACCTTATTTTTAAATATTTATTGGCATTTTCCAGAAAATTCGTCAACTTGACTGAGTTTTCTGGAAGAAACGTCCAGCAAACTATGTCAACGCGACTTATTTTATGTAAAAGCGCCCACAAACAGTATGAATGGCAAATTGTATAAGAAATAATATTCACGAGTTGATCCAGATAACAGGTTTTATAAGAACTGCCAAATATTCATCATAAAAACGTCCAGAAATTAAATAAAAATGACGACTTTTCTGGATTTTCTACAGAAAAAACAAAATTTAAAAAAATATTATTGTAAACCCCTTTTTTGGGCTAAAAGAACGTCAAGAACGAGGGAAACAAATGGAACTGACTCATCCCAAGCCTTTTTCGACCATCTCGAGGTGTATAATATTGTTTCGACATGTATAATATATGGGTTTTGCCAGGTAACCGCGGACTTACTTTTAACGTTGAATGAAGCCTGAGGATCGCCGGGGAGAGGACTTGTTGTGGAGTAGTCATCTGTAACGGTAATTTGTTATTTTTTATTAGTTTTACTTGGTTGATAAAGGAACGATTAGCTGGTTTGGTCATGGATAATATACGTTTTGAGTTGGCTTTGGAGTTTATAAGAGTTAAACTGGGTTTGGATTACAGCGTTTTGGGTTTGTTAAAGAACTAGGAGGGAGCTTGATTAGAAATGGCATAAGTTTACTTTTAAAAAGAATTTTGAAGCTAGAAAGTAGTTGATCATAAAGAAAAACGTTTAGTATAAAGGACTTCTCGGGAAAATAATATTCTAAAATAGCGAATAGACGAATATAGTTTTAATTTATGATAACACGCATTCATAACTGAATTTACTGAATTTATAAATATTTAATTTAAAAATTTTTCAACTTCAGGTCCTATGTCAGAAATCATAATGTAAATCCAAAAATAGTTTTTTTACTGTTTTATAAAAAATATTGCTTCTTCGACCATATTTTACGTTTTACACCGTTTTTGTTATTGTTATTCTATTATCTTGTGCTATTGTAAAATTGCGCTGTAACCTCTCGTGCCGTGCTCAAATGTATATCGTGCCTTTTTTCACTATTTTTTTGTATAACCCAACCTTTTATTAAGTTATTCTTAATTTGCAATCCTTAGTTTACAATAATTTCGCGTTTCATTATTATATTCTACTATAACTTCGTATTTTTACCCTGTATCGTGACCAGTGTAATACCGCGTTTTATCACCCATTATCATACCTAATTGCTTATTGTCAATCCTATGTTATATCGGAAACGAAGATTATAAAGTCTAGACCCTGCCCAAAATCCCTGGACCCACTTTTTTATTAACTTTAGCTAAGATTTATTTATTAATTGGTACAGCCTGTTTATTTGCTTAAGATATTGCCTATTTATTAAGCTAAAAAATTGCCTCTTCATTAAGCCGAGATATATTATTCATTAAGATTTGACATAAAGCTCAAACGGGTCGAGAGCTCAGAATTGGAGGGAAAAAACGGACTGACCGAACCCCCTAAAATGCAATGAAATGACCCACTGAACTCGTATTACATGTAGCGGAAAATTTTAAAAATCCGCAAAATGAAACAAGGGCTGTTTTGGAGGGTAATTATTATAAGCAGTGCCGCGCTAGCGATTTTTGTCTTTGGGAGGTCTAAATTGAAAAAAAAATTCTAATGTGTCTACTACAATATAGGAAAGAATAAGAAATACCAGATAAAAGTATAAAACAAGAAAATAAATATCAATTAAAGCTAAACAAGATCAAGAATAATACAAAACTAATAAAAGAAAGATAAGAAACAGCAAAACTTATGATCAAACAACTGCTAAAACAATAATAATAATAAATGGCCTAAAGATATAAAACCCTCATATTAATGTTGTCTTACTAATTGGACAGCTTTTCTGTTGATATGGCTGTGTTACGGCCCAATTAGGCGATAACGATGGCTAATTAGGCGTTGAAGACAACAACTTAACATTATATTATAGTATGGGGGGTTTTGAACAAGATTATATTGTATTTATTGGTGTTTACCAATAATAATGTATAAATAGATTAAAAGGCAAAGAAATGTGACAATAACAAACATATTACGATAATACTTTGAAATACAAAAAATACGCTTGAAATATTGAAATCTCAAGGACTGGGTCAAAAAATTTAAAAATGCTAAAAATGCCAAAATATTTAAATACCCATAACCGCAATTTCAAATTTTTGCATTAAAGCAGTTGAATTGACTTCAAAAGGCAAAAACCGCTAATAAACACAATTATTTCGAACAAATTCAATAAAAACCCCTCAAAAAGGTAACTGTAATCCCCCATTTCGTTTGTATGGCGTTAAAAATAGTACGTGTGGTCTTTACGAGGCGATAAAAAACAAGTTATGAACGTCGTTGATGACATTCAAAGTGCACAACACAATAATAATAGCGTGGGAAATGTTGACGACTGTGTTACAAAATGTAAAAATGAGGTCATTGAGACGTCCAAGAGGGAAAAATTATTAGTATCAATGTAAATGAACTGTATATTGGTTGATGTAAGGTGAATAATAATATGGAGGAAAACTTGGCTTCATGGTGTCATTTACTTTACTACGTAACTGTTAGTAGAAATTTTTTTCTAACAGTTTTAAGTAGTACTAGGATAAAATCCCATGCACTTTTTGAACATAGTAGCCTTATGAGAAAGTTCTACGTACTTTTTGACCAATACAATACTAGGTTAAAGTTTTGCGCACGCAAAATAGGACTAGGATGAAACTCCATAAATTATCATATTTGTCCAAAGTAGCAATACTAAGTCTTTGAGCACTATTAGAAGAAAATAGTACGTCTATAAGTCCGTATTTTGAAGGTTCTTTTACGGGGATTAAAAGGAAATGTACGGCACGTCGAACGCCCGGCGTTCCTGTGTGTTTTTTGCCTCTTGTGCTAACCGGAAATCAAAGTGAATCGAGTTAGACAAGGCGAATGAAAATCCCGGTAACTAGGTGGGGCATAAAGACACAGGACATAAGGGCAGAGTTATCGGTTCGCTTGGTAACGAACCATAATGTAAATAATTAGAAATTCAAACAGGTGGGAAAACACAAAATGATCGGGTTTAATTACACGGTTTTAGGGTAACAATAACAAAGTACAAGGATTGCGTTTGAAAAAAAGTACATAGGTTCAGTTTGAAAATTGCAAGGTATATGAATAGATTTTGCAAAAACTTGTGCGTAAAGAATTTTATTTTAAAATTTCACGTAAACTGGCAAAATTCGGCCCTAGTAGGGTAAAAAAGTGGGATTAGCATGTAATTACTAACTCAATAAGCACAAAATTGCAGTTAATAATACCTTTTTGTTCTTAAATTGTGCTGTAATAGTGGACTTTTGTCTTCTTAAAAGTTGAAAATCTCATAACACTAGACTTATTGTTATACGTAATTTTTTGAATGTAAGTTTTGATGGCAAGGATTTACGTAGACTTTTAAAAAAGTGCCCAGTAAAACAATACAAACTGCCTATTTAAAAAACGTGTCAAAAGGTCCAAGAAAATGTAGAAAAATAGATGCGAAAGCTTTGTTCATCCATTTAAGCCTGCGGCTTGTTAATTAAGAAGTAGCACGAGGTGTAACGGCGTCTTAATTAGACTGAGGTACTTGCATAGCTTAAAGGCTTGAAAAAAAAGGTTTTAACATTTGGCAGGGGCTCGCGAAAATAAAAATTTTTAGAATTAGCTTATGGTACCTAACACTATTATGGTATATAATAGTTAGGTAGGTACTATGAAGCCTTTTTAATCTAAATTCTTTGTTAAAACACCTTTTCTAACTTTCAAAATAACTGGTATGCTTTAAAATAATATATAAAAAGTAAAAACATGATGTAGCGGACTAATAACTATGCTTACAAATGCATAACTTTGCACTTTTAGCATTATCCGCTAGGGTAATATTTAAAAAAATGACGAAAAGGGCATTGCGTGGAATTATTAGTTATAATAGGATAGTAGATAACTATTTTATAAAAGAGAAGTATTGGAAGCTATAAAAAATTAAAATGCGTTTCAAAAATGGCTTTTTGATGGGTTTTTGAGGTAAAAATATGTTTGGGTAAAACTTTATGGTGTTTTGAAATTGTGGTAGCCCGCTGAGCAAGCGTAAATTAAGTTAGGGCTCCAAGATGTAATTTTTAAGAAGCTTTAATTAGAAAAATATTATTTTTGGGTAAAATTTTGACACTCAGTTTTGGAGGCAATGAATTTGTGAAGTTAAAGCACATAGGTTTTACAGTTTCTGTACTTAACAAACTTTCAAACCCCAAAGCAACATTTTAAACTCCAAAAAAATCCATGACCGGCGTAAAACCACGCGCATAAAGGGCCAAAGCGCAATAATTTTTACGGATAGTAGTAACCCCGCACTTACTTTGTCTTTTTCCCTCGAACATGCAATAGTTGACATGCCGCGCGAATTAAGACCAGGCTCTTGTTTTGGAGTAGCCGATTCACCTTCCTCCCCGTCTTTATATTCGTGTTGTCACCTAGTCGGGGTTTTCCGTTGTTGTACTGTTTAATGAATGATTTTGGGCGAAGGCATTTCTAAACAAAAAAACATTATAAATGGGTATAGAAAACTTGAAAATAAATGGGTATAACAATGAAAATATATGGGTATAGCAAAGTTTGAAGCTCGAGCGCCAAAAAACGATTTATATGCGGATTACTCTCGAAAAGTTTGCAGTAAAATTTACGAAATTGACGAAAATAACAATGTTATAATGATTTAACAACATTAAACTTTATTTAGTAATAGAAAATACTAAAAGAACTATTGGTCAAATGAAATTTAAACAAAAAAAACTAAAAAATCTAAAAAAACCTTCAGGTCACAACAA